GGGATTCCAGTTGAGACAATAAATATTTTCTTTTATGCATCTTATTTTCATTTTCCCTAGCTTTATACCATTATCTTTTCAGTTATTGTTATACTGTATAAGCAGAAGGAAGAATTTTTCACACTTAGGCAACTATATATTTGCATTTTACATCATATATCTGTACACACATTTTTTATAAACACACACACATATATAGCATACGCATGCTATATAATATATACATTATGTACATGCACACTTTCCCCAAAAATATTTTACGAACTTTTTAATATTTTTTTAAATATAAACAATTCACCAACAGTGGTCTTTATAGTCTGCTACGCTATTTCTTTTTGTCTAGAGATTATGTGAGTGTTAATGGGAGAGAGACTAGGGTAATGCCACGGTTAGAGGTGAAACTGCCTGCAGAGCACAAATCAGCCATGTGACTTATTTAAGAGAGGTTCATGGATTCAATATAATCCACAGCCCCTCAAACACACAAACACACAGATATCTAGGGATGTTGTCAGTAAGCACTTACCCTCCTGTCCCACTGATTACAGGCTTATTAGCCACTGCCCAGTCTTCCCCTCTGAGGCTGCTCGTTGGCCCTGCACTAACAGCACAGAGAAGGCAAGATGCAGATCAGAAGTTGCTCTCAGCAGTAGACATTGGCTGTGGCAGCAGCTGGGAAAGTCAGCACTGGAAGCATATATAATGTATGTAATGTATGTAATGCTGCTGCTATGTCATCTAAATCGGGATGTGCTTGCAGCACAACATTTTAACCTGAGAGAGGCTATAGCACACATTTGATATCAGGTGGAAACTGGTAGGAAGGAAGCGTTCTTTTTTTTTACTTCTACCCTACATTGCTGCTGTGGACCTGGCAGCTCGTCCTCTTGGACAACAACCCCGTCATTCTGCGCTCCTCTTGCTAGGATTTAGTTGTCCTCACACTGAGATTTTTTCAAGGCTCTAGGCTTCTCCACTTTGCAACACCTTTCCTGTGGCAGAATCTGCAGAATCGGGCAGATACATTTTCACTGGAAGAAAAAGGCTCCTTGAAAGACGTTAAGTCTGAGCTCTCTGAATTAATAAGGCTATCCTAGAAAAGCCAAGCTGCTCTGTGAAAGGTGAAATGCTCATTCCCTTCATAGCAACTTTATAGCTAAGTCCCTAGGATTCACTAACTTTTTCACAATGGACAGGCACTGTTTCCCAAACAAATTGATCCTGTCCTTGCACAGGTGGCTCAGACAAATAATACACCCCGGTTGAAATATATACACTCATTGCAATATATATAAAGGTAGGGATAAATATTTGGTGATCATAGTGTTCTTTACATGCGTGAAGGTGTTACTGTGATGGTCACAGAGTAAATGCCTAGGCAGAAACGCAGAGAAGTCCAGAACAAAAATATTGAGGAGAGGTCTCTGCAGTTCAGAGCTCTAACTGTTATTTTGCTTTTGTTCAAAATACCTTGGATATTTGAAAAAGTCAACAATTTCATAACCAACCTTGGACAAGCTAATCTTTGACTAGCACAGTCAGCTACGACAGAAACTTCTCTGATAACAGCTGGTGTCATTGATCTTCACCTCGGTCATCTCACTGCAGCCTCACACTTTCTATGTCTGACTCTTGCAAGGCTGCTATGGAGCAGTTAGCAAACACTGCTTTTCAAACCTCTCCCACCTGGAGCAGTTTATGTGATGTGGTTTAGCTTTTCACACAAGGTTGTTTGGTTTGACATTTAGACCAGCATAAATAAGATATAAGTAACGTAAATGAAAACATGTATTTCAATAGGTTTGTGGGTTTGTCTTTTAAATAAACAAAATCACTATTTATCATGTCAGTTTAACAGAATAACAAATTTAGTAATTACCCCTCCTTAAAAATAATAATCGAAGAGTCATACCTCATTTTCTTCACATGAAAAACCTCTTTTATTGTTTTCCATTTTCGGGTATTGTCTGAACTTTCATGGAAAATTGTTGATGAATTGTTTATATTTGAAAAACAAATTTAAAAGTTCGTAAAACATTTTTGGGAAATGTGAGTGTACATATTTCTCTTTCATTTATTTATTGGTTTATTTATTTATTTTACTTTCAGAAAGTCTGTTGTGCAAAGCAGAGGAGCAGCATACAAGCAGAATTCAACCAAGGGAAACAAATCTTGCTTGTCTTACTCTTCAGTTAATGGGATGCCACACCTAAGACAGGGAAGTTATGTTGCATCTCTAAAGGCTGTACTGGTGACTGGAGACAGATCTGCATTTGTTCCTGTCTGTCAAAACACGCTGGCAGGAACAGAAGGTGTTCTGTCATGTCCAGTCTCCTCTTTATACATTTACATGGGTTGGGATGGAGTCACAATTTCATTGCTCCGTTGCAGCTTCACACCAGTGGAACTATACTGGAAGACTGAATAAAATGAGGAAAAGAAGAAAATTGAGCCTGTTGGTTTGAGATGGGAAACTTTGTATTATTGTCTTATTTCTCTGGAGTGTCTGATTTTAGTTTACCATGCTTGCTTATATCCCATACAAAGCAAGGTGTAGTATAGAAAGATGACTCTGGGTAAGAAATGCGCCCCAAATTCTAGGAACATCCATACAATTGCAATTTCCCTTTCTCAGGAAAGGGTCAGCATTGCAGTCATGTTGAATGTGTATATGTATTAGGATTTACACTTAAGTTAAGCTTGCAGGATTGCAATATTTTTTCAAGAGGAACAACTCCACATCTTTGCCCTGTGTGTGCCAGGAAATAGGTTTCTGTTACCTGATGAGATCCTTGTCTTTTTATTCCATTAAAAATTATATTAGTATCATATGAAAGATACTCTGGTTTTCATCTCTGTAGCATCTTTCAAACCTTCTTATTAGCAAGGAGCAGTTTCACAGTTCACAGCCCTGAAAAATGAACAGTGAATTTGTTCTGACATGCTCTACGATAACCATAGACTGTGTGCATGTCTGCCTGCTGGCAGTGCAATACATGCTCAGCCTTGGTGCTGGGAGCAGCTGGGGCCACAGCAGCCTCACCTCCATTGGGCTGTCAGATTTGGCAAGCCCTAACACAACCCATGGAATCACAAAGTGGGTAAGGTTAAGAAGGATCATCTGCTTCAACCTCCCTGCTCAAGCAGGGCCATCCTAGAGCACACTGCACAGGATTGTGTCCAGATGGTTCTTGAATATTTCCAGTGAAAAAGACTCCACAGCCTCTCTGGGCAGCCTGTTCCAGTGCAGTCACCTGAACAATAAAGTTTTTCCTTCTATTCAGGTGGAAATTCCTGAGCATCAGTTTTTGCCCATTGCCTCTTGTCCTATTTCTTGGTATCGCCAAGAGCCTGGCTCCATCAATGAGACACATGGTCCATGATACAGGTGTCATGAGATCAAATTATTCAATGCAAACTTCTGTTTTAACGACTGGATATATTTTTAATGCTAGAGGACACATTTCACTTTTACCCTAGCCAATGGAGAAAATATGCACCATCACATTATTTGCAAGATATGGGAAATAAATCTCAGTTTTTATGTTCTTTTTCTACTGATTTTTCTACTTGCTAAAAAAGGCATAATCACTCAAAAGGATATAATTTAAATTTTATAAAAATATGACAAGTGATGATAATAATAGAATCATAGAATGTTAAGGGTTGGAAGAAACCTTAAAGATCATCTAGTCCCAACCCCCCCATGCCTTGGCAGGGTCACCTCCCACTACCCCACATTGTTCAAGGCCTTATTCAACCTGGCTTTGAACACTGCCAGAGTTGGGGCATCCATAACCTACATGGGCAACTTGTTCCAGCATCTTACCACCCTCACAGTAAAAAGACTTCTTCCTAATATCTAGTCTAAATCTCCTCTCTTCCATTTTGTACCCATTACTCCTTGTCCTATCACCACAGACCCTTGTGAAAAGTCCCTCACTGGTTTCCCTGCAGGCCCCCTTCAGATATGGAAGGCTGCTGTGAGGTCTCCACACAACCTTCCCTTCTCCAGGCTGAACAGCCCCAACTTTCTCAGCCTGTCTTTGTAGGGGAGGTGCTCCAGCCCCCTGATCAACTTCATGGCTTCCTCTGGACTTGCTCCAACAGTTCCGTGTCCTTCTTATGTTGGGGTTCTTTCTGATCTAAGAAATGCGTGATATGCATTTCTTAGAAATGCATCTCTTTGCAAAATACTTCATGCCAGCATTAGTGGAGAAGAGGAGATGGGATATAAAACAGGGCTCCTGTGGTGTGCACTGTACAGGTGTGCACTGGTGACCCACACCTGTTTTCAATTCTGGGCCCCTCAATTCAGGAAGGACACTGAGGTTCTGGAGCAGGGCAATGAAGGTAGTGAAGGGCCTGGAGCACATGTGCTGTAAGGAGTGGCTGAGGGAGCTGGGGTTGTTTCCCCTGCAGAGGAGGAAGCTCAGGGGAGAGAGACCTTATCGCTCTCTACAGCTACCTGAAAGGAGGTTGTAGGCAGGTGGGGGTTGGCCTCTTATCCCAAGCAACAGTAGAGAGGACAAGAGAACATAGTCTTACGCTGTGCCAGGGGAGGTTTAGGTTCAACATTGGGAAGAATTCCTTCACAGAAAGAGTGATTAGAAATTGGAATGGGCAGCCCAGGGAAGTGGTGGAGTCACTGTCCAGGAGGTATTTAAGGAAAGACTGGATGTGGTGCTATGGTCTAGTTGACATGGTAGTGCTCGTTCATAGGTTGGACTGGATGCCCTCTGAGGTATTTTCCAACCCAGTTGTTTCCGTGATTCTGTGGTTTAAGCCCACGCCAGCTAGTGCGCAGCTGATGACCGGCGCAGCTGCAGCCTCCCAGCGAACACCCTTCCCCTCACGGCGGGGCGACCGCCGAGGTACCTTCCCACCGCCGGACACCCACGGCCGCCAAAGACGCGGCCCCGAGCTTCCCCTTTCCCCTTCACTCACCGGCCCGGCTCCGCCCCCCGGCCCCGCCGCCACATAAGACCGTCGGCGCCTCCCCGCCCCTACCCGGCGCGCAGCGGGAGGCTGAGGATCCGCGGCAGCCATGGTGTTGAACCCGGTGCTGGGGAAGCTGGTCAGCAAGCGGGTGGTGCTGGCCAGCGCCTCGCCGCGCCGCCAGGAGATCCTCACCAACGTGGTGAGTGCGGCCGGGCAGCGCTCGCCTCGCCCGGGCCGCGGTGTGCGGGCAGCGGCCGCCTCCAGCCGCCGGGCCGGGCCTGCGGGGCCCGCCCGCTCCCTGCTCCATGGGATCGGTGGGAGCGGGCCGGGGGGAGCAAGGTAGCCGTGTCCTTTCCGTAAAGCACCTGTGGAACGCAAAGAAGGCCGTAGCTCGTCGTTCACCCCGTTCAGCCCCTGCCTCGCTAGGCAGGCCGCGGGAGGCTTTTGAATAGCACTTCGGTATTACCCATCCAATTTAGATTGCTTAGTGTTATTATTCTTAATAATTCAACTGAGAAATTGAACTTAAATGGAAAAAATAACTTTACAGTACGAATATCTGGAGAAATGCTGAGGTTCAGGCATGTACTCAGTTGTTAGAAACCTAAGGTGCCTGCTGGGTGTAGTAAATTCGCAAGTGTAACCTGGAAACAAAAAATTGAGGTTTTGGGGGTTTTTTTTGACAAAACCATACAGAAAGCGGCTGGTTTTGTTTTCTCTCCATCACATGTATAAGGACATGTAAAGGCTGGTAAAGCCCCTGTAAGATTTTGCACAAGTGCTGTGGATAGATTCAATTAAAAAAAAAATCCACTAGTAGAATACTCTGTTTATGAAGCACATAAGTTTTATACTGTTAGTTCTTATAGGAAAAGGCTGATGAAATTACTAATGCAATTAGCTTCTAATAAATAAGAGTAAGATCAAATAAGTACACTGGTTTAGAAGTTCCTTCTGACTGCTTTTTTGTTTGTTTTGTTTTAGGCTGTTTGCAAATTATATGTGTGCGCTAAACACTGTGGTAGAAGCACTCTGTTCTTCTTCCCCTATGGGTTTGCCGGGGGAGGTGTGTTAAAGTGGAAAGAGCAAGAAGTCAAATTTGCCACTTGCTTGATGTGCCTTGTGAGCAATATTTAATAACGAGACCAGATTGATTGCATCACTTTCCTCTGTTACAGGGCCTGCGGTTTGAGGTGGTTCCATCCTGGTTTAAGGAGACACTTGAAAAGTCATCTTTTGCAGCCCCTTTTGAGTATGCTGTGGAAACAGCAAGACAGAAAGCTCTTGAAGTAGCAAACAGAATGCATGTAGTAAGTTACCAGCTATTTTGGCAATGAGATTTTTGTCTTTAGGTGGTGTGTGTTCCTGTGACTCGTTTTGCATGTGCTGCTTAAGTGACCTCTGAGTCCTTTTTCTCCACCAAAGGTGAATAGCTATTTTTCTGTCATTTGTGAAAGACAGCTTTCTGAAATTAATTTGCTTAATCAAAATTCTCACGCCTGCAGTTCAGGCTTTCCACAAACTGCAGTAGCCTGCATCTTTTGTTAGCAGCAAACCTCCTCTTGTTTGGGAGATAGTTCCTTTGAAAAGTCAGGTGTGTGGCTGACCTAATTCCAGGTGTTTGTTGATTGTGAAGACAGACTATGGAAAAACCCTGATATGAATCCAATGCTTTGCTGTAGCTTTCACTGAACAGTAGTGACAACAATAGCTCAGAATTTGTGAGTGTAGAAATACCAGAAGAAAGCAGAAAAAAAGACAAATTCTATTCTGGACAAAGAAACACTCAGTTTCATTTCAGGAAGGGAGAAGTTGATGTGCCTTCAGGTTCTGTAGACAAGAACCTAGTTTTGTATCCTAAATTTTATCAAGCAGTGATGCAGCTTAAACTGTCAGTGATGTATTTGACTTATGACCTTGACTGTTATCACTGTGTTTGAGCCATAAGGCTGTTGTCTACCAGGACCTATTTTGAAGTCTAACTGATTAAATCCCATAAAATGCACCATAATAATTTCTTAATAATAAAGCTTTGAAAGAGAGAGGTATGTTTGTTGATGCTATACTGGTGGCAGGAAAGGAATATTGAACACTTTAAACTAACTGTGTTGCCAGAGGTCACCATTCTTCAGAGCAAATATTGCATGATGTCTAAAGTAAATTGTTACCCAGTTTTCTGTCAACTACTTTTTAGACAATGATACATTAGGAGAGTGGATTTTAAACCCAGCCTCACTAAATGACTTACTTTGGACTTTCATTGCAAAACAGTGTGCTGGGGATAATGCTCATTCAGTGGATTTCAAAATACTTCTTCATACAGGAATTAGTACCACTAATTTTAGACATCATTTAGCAATTTAAAGCATATCAACACCATTTCTATAGAAGAATTGCCTCCCTACAAATGTTTTAATGTAATGGTCACAGTTACAGATAGGTTTCCTATCATGATGTGTTAAATAATAACTATGTACCGGATAACATGCAAATAAATCAAAACTCAGCTGTTAAAGGACAGATGCAGTTTAAAGTCAAAAAAAAAGCTACAAGGAATTTTTATATAATGCTACCTCTCATTACCAGAAAATGGACTGTATATGTTCCCTTTTCAAAGAGATAAGTGAGGTGTAGCTGGAGAAAATGTTTTTTATTTTTCAATAAAACTTGACTTGGAAATGTGATCCCAGAGGGCTGTATTCTCTGGCTTCCATACTCTTCCATACACTGGCTTCCATAAAGGCACTTCCTTTAAAGGAATTGTCTACCACCTCAAGGATCAGGTTGACCTTTGAGAATGCCTTTGTTATTTCCTGGATGCAGTTGTTCATTAGCAATGTGTTTGAGCAAATTTGTGATGTGAGAATAGGCTGCGCAAGCGTCACTTTTATGGCCATATAAGTGATTGCTATTTTCCACACAGTGCAAATGAAGAAATTGTCTTGTTTTCAGATCAGTGTAGAGCCCTCCCTGAAACCATCAGTAAACTGATGTTTTCTCGCTGTATATTTTAAAAGATTTCTACCTATTCTGACGAATTATTATTATCTTCTTTATACAGAAGCATATGAGAACACCTGATGTTGTCATAGGAGCAGACACTATTGTGGTAAGAAGTCTTCTGTGGTTTAGCATTATTTTATGACAAATGTAGGAAATACTTGTATCTTTAAAGTTTGAAAACTGCCTTCACTGTGAAGTTTGTGTTTCTGGATGAGTCTTTTTTCCCAACGAGGTAATTTTTGAAATCTTGAGAGCCAGAGGCCTTGCTGCTGGTTTTGCAAACACTAGTACTGCATAAGTATTGCCTGGAATCCTCTAATATATAATGGAAATCCTGTTCTCAGGCAACTGTTGGCTGTCGAAGTCCATATCATGTAAACTGTTCAGTGTTGTGGCAGGTGCAGGCATCATTTTATACCTGTCATCTCCACAGAAATGGTGCATGGTTAAGGACAGAGAAAGTTGGATTGCCCTTTTGTTTGAGAGCTGCCACCACTGGACGGGGTAGTGTGACACTCATTATGTGCTTGACCCTAAATTACCTGTTCTACCAAAATATCTGTGCTTCTTGCTGTACTCAGTAGACTCATGTTTGAAGCTCTGACTGAAACCACAGTTTAAACATAATTTCTGACCTCAGTTTCTGAAAAGTAATAAAAAGCAGCGCATTCACTCTGTCTTTCTGTTTTAGTCTGTGGATGAGCAGATCTTGGAGAAACCAGTTGATAAGCAAGATGCCTATAGGATGCTGTCAAGGTCTGTAGTTTTAAGTAAGATTCCAAATATGTATATTAAACTGTTTTCAAAGGAGCTGTACAGATTCCTTGATGTATATGAGAATCTCCATGGACACAAATTTTTCAGTGATTTTTAAGTAGAGTAAACTAGTTCTTCCACTGAAAAAGTTAGACCTGCTTTTATGTTACCTACAGCTGCTTGCTCTTGCCCCTCCACTGTAGGAAGCTGATCAGAGACATAATGAACTGTTTTGTTTTCACTTGGATTGATTTTCAGAATCACTTATCACAAGACTCTGTATGCTTCAGCTGGTACAGGATGGGGAGATAGGGAGAGAAATCACGGTGGGAAGGACAGAACCATCATAGCAGTGGTTTGAGGCTTGAGATTTAATGGAATAATGATAGTGTATCTTGGGTTGGAAGGGACCTTAAAGATCATCCAGTTCAAACCCCCCTGCCATGGGCAGGGACACCTTTCACCAGACCAGGTTGCTCAGAGTTCCATCCAGCGTGGCTCTGAACACTTCCAGGATGGGGCAGCCACAACTTCTCTGGGCAACCTGTTCCAGTTCCTCAGCTCGTAGCATAGAACTTCCTCCTAATATCTAATCTAAATCTACTCTCTTTTAGTTTGAACCTACTCCCTCTTGTCCTGTCACTACAGGCTCTAGTAAAAAGTCCCTCTCCATCTTTCTTGTAGGCTCCCTTCAGGTACCGGATGGCTGCAATTAGTATTACACATACAAGAAAGTACATGATCATATGAGTTCATGGACAGTTTCTTTAAATTGTGTAGTTTAACTGAGGAGGAAAAATCTCTTTCCATCAGTGTTCTCCATAGTTGGTAGGCTGGTGGGGTTTTTTTAAGGTTTCTGCTTTTTTCCTACTACAAGCTTAATGTTTTATAGCACTTTTTTTTTTTAAGAAACACTAACTAACTATAGTCACCTTTCTGAAGGATGAGATGTGAGGAATCCTCAGATCATGCTTCTGTTTTATTGGGGAGTAGAGGAAGAAAAGGTGCACTGCTTGTTTCATCAGTTTACATTATAACTCAGACATCTAAAAAGTGAATACAAGTGGCTTGATTTTTTTTTGAGTTTTGTTCTGTAAGTGTATATAGATTTTTAATTTTTTTCATTGTTGAATGTTTGATCCTTTGTGGCATGTTCAAATTTAAAAGTAGTTTTTTAAAACAAAGAAGGGCTAGCAACCTGTGTCATTAGTAGGAGATTCACAAAGGAGTCTTGTCTGGCAAGAGATTTTTCACAACTGTTTTTGCTTGAAATTATGCCATGTTCAGCTAATTAATTTTATTTTTTTTCCTCCAGAGCCTAATTTACTTTTAACATATGCAAATGTTTGGGGTTTTGTTTTGTTTGTTGTAAGTTTAGGTCAATAGATATAAAATGCATGTAATGTTTAGCTTTTTAGAACTCCAGGAAAAAATGCAGACGATGATACATCTTTGCATATATCCAAGGTGTCAAATGAAAATTTGCACACACTGTTTCATCTTACAAATCAGTGTGGAATCTTTGGGGGACACAAAGAGTGTGAGATGCTTCTGGTCACATTCAAAAATATTCTGGCTAATCATTGAGGCTGTTCCTTAAATAGGCTCTTCAAAGATTCACGTTCGCTTGCTATTTATTGTACTCCTATTGCTGACACAGTAGATTAATGAAGTCCTCAAAACTAATCAGCCACAGCGTGGCACTCCGGAGCCACTACGAGAGGGAGTGAGAGGAAATGGAATTTGGATTCTCTGCTCTCTGGCTTGCCTTGGGATTTCTGAGGGCCAGTCTGGATGAAATGAGAACATATGCTCTAGTTCCCTATCACTTGCTTAGTCTAAGTTGCATCATCTAGCTATGTACTGCCAGCTTTCAGTGAAGATGGCTGTAAAAGCAGTATTTGTGCCGACTGGTCTTTTCTAATGCATTTGAAATAGTCACTTTCCTGATGCACAGTGAATAAACTGATAGCATGGACTACTTTTCCAGTACAGTACAAGTGATATTTTGGAGACTTGAAATAACTGAAGCTTTTGATAGTGGGTTTTGTTTGTTTGTTTTTGTTTTTGCTTTTTTTGGTTGGTTGGTTTTGTTTTGCCCATGCCTTTTCACCTATATTGAAATGACTAAAATAAAATATATGTGTTCAGGGTGCATGTCAGACCCATTATGATAGAATCATAGAATCAGATGGGTTGGAAGGGACCTCTGAGATCATCAAGTCCAACCCTTGATCCACTGTAGCTGTGGTTACTAGACCATGACACAGAGTGCCATATCCAGTCTCATCTTAAAAACCTCCAGGGACGGAGAATCCACCACTTCCCTGGGAAGCCCGTTCCAATGCCTGATTACCCTCTCTGTAATGGAATTCCTAATATCTAACCTAAACCTCCCCTGGCAGAGTTTAAGACCATGCCCTCTTGTCTTACTGATGGCTGCCTGGGAGAAGAGACCAACCCCACCTGAGTGGTAGATTAATATAAAGGTCTGTTTCTCAGGCTGTAGCAATGTAATCACATAGAATATTTCATAAGAGTGTTGCTTAATGCACATCTTTTCCCTGACAGGTTGAATGGGAAAGAGCACAGTGTCTTCACAGGAGTGGCTATTATACACTGCCACAGTAAAGGTATGTGTATCATTTTATTAAAACTCAGTATTTGCATTAGAAGTTATTCTCATAATGACTTGTACAAGTGAAAAAAAGGGATGACAATGTTTCATTTACAGTCTGAATTGGTTTTCTACTCAAGAATTACTTTATCAAAGTATAAATAAAACTTCCCCACAAAAGCCAATCTTCTTGCTGTATTGAGTTTTCACACAGGAAGGAGGATTACAAAATACTATAGACTTTAGAAATACTGTCTCTAAAAGCTGTGAGACTAATTGAAAGACCAGTGTAAATTATGGGAATATTCTAAATGAAATTCAAGTAAGGCACTACCAAGTGTGAGACTGAGCAGAAACTGATCCATATTAACCTTATTCCTGTGTTCTGTTTACACTGGCTGATAAATACAAGTGGTTGCTCTTATCTGTAGTGACTTCAATTTTCAGTAAATAAGGGCAACTTCAGAGCCAGTTTTAGGGCATGAGTAGAGTAATGGCTTAATGGCTCAGATGGTTAAGGAACTGTAGGGAGCAATACATCAGTGTTCTTTATCAGATAATTTATAGAGTAAGCAAGTGATTTTTATGTGAACTGTACCATTAATATAATTTGAGGAGTGGTTGGGGAGCACTGTGTAATAATTATGCCAATATTCCTTTTGTTGAGCTTTTGCAGGGATCATTTTTCTGACATTTCACTCAACACAGTCTTTCTGTAGATAAAGTATTTACAGGTTTTAGTATTTTCTGGAGTCATTGCTTTTAACTCTTGTAAAATAGAAATAAAATCAGTAACCCAGTACCCGTACTAATACGCAAGTACAGCAGAAAGAGAGCTGCTGCAAAAGAAATAAAATACATTATCAAAGGGTTCCTGGGAGCAATCCAGCAACAATAATATTACCTTTAATTGTTTAATGTAGGAAGAAAGTTAAAGTGCACACAACTGTAGTACTGATGCTATAACAGCACATCTCATTCAAAATTTGCAAATTTAAGCCTCATCATATTCAGATGAATAAAAATACTGTAAACCTGCATATTTCCCAAGTGATGCCATCAGTGGAAGGATTTTCTAGAATACATTTTCAGTTTTAGTTTATAATTAAAATGCTTTTGTTAAGTACCACATATATATTACAGATGAAATTTTTATCTTAAGCTGATTCAGGTTTTTTATCAATACTGAAAGATGTATCAATACTGAAATACTGTCTTCACATGCAACAATTTTCTTATTTTATCTGGTTTATTAAATGTTTGGGGTTTTTTTCCACACTAATACCATTAGAAGTTGGTTAGTATTCTCCCCTTGTTCTGTACTGTAGATCTTTCATACTCTTCCTCAAGAATTTCCACTCCTATGAAGACAGTGGTAACAGGAGATGCTGACTTTGGTGTTTGTAGAAAAGAGCAGAGAGAGCTAATAACCTGTAATGTGCACACTCATTTGTGCAAGGTTGTTTCCTTTTGAACGTGCTTTGGAAAAGCCTTCGCCTGGAATGATACCAGATTCCAGTGTAGCAGGTGCAGCAGGATCCCTACCCACGTGTTCAGTACTTTATTGCACCTTCCTTCAACCACTTCTAGATAGAGAGGTCTGAAATAATCTTGTCATTTCCTGAGAGATGATAGGAAAATGTCCGTGGTGGTTATTGATGGGATTGCTGGATGCCTGAGTCTGCAGTGCAGGTGCAGCTGCAATTCCCACTCTTAGGACAGCTACATGTTGAACTATGATGTGTTGTTAAGAGTTCTTTGACAACAGTCATAAAGTTGGAAGGCTAGTTGTAGCCTTCTTTGTACCCAGTGCCAGATGTGTGTGCCAGCGGTCCATAAGTAGCTCTGTGTAAGCATTATTAAAGAACACATTCCACACAGGGAGAGCAATCTGTTAGCCCCAAGACAGGACTGCAGAACTTGGAAATGCAAGCTTTTACTGTTTTGGGGAAGTTATGAGTCCACTGTCCCTCAAGAATGTTATTAGTGATGTCATACATCTGTGTAGTATCTTAAAGTTTTTCCCCAAGCAAAATTGTCAAATGATTACCAAATAAAACTTAGATGTTATGCTCTCTAAATTACAATTCCTGTTTCTTTTCTTTTCTGTAGACAGTAAGCTAGAGATGGAAATTACTGATTTCTATGAAGAGACTAAAGTAAAATTTTCTGATCTGTCTGAAGAGCTCCTATGGGAGTACATTCATAGTGGGGAGCCAATGTAAGTAAGACTGATGCTATCACATGACGTTTGAGAATAGGTCTTAGGGTATGTTATTAAGCCACCAGCAGAAAGTGTTTGGTCCTGTGAAAAATTGCTTTATGTGTATGATAAATGATAGCATGGGTGATGCAAGGTGAGTATGTTCTTCTTGTTCTTCTCCAGAGCTGTCACTTCTCCAGGGAAAATGAGATACCTTTTTAGAGCCTTAATGCATTTGAAAAGTGAAGACTGGAAATACTCTGGATTAGACCAAGCACTCATGCAATATACAGTTAATTCTCTGTTAGCAGAGGCATTCAGGATCTTCAGTACCTGAGACAATACAACTTATGTATGTTCCTAAGCCATAATTATCTTTTAGCTTGTGTTGCTGCTACCCTTGTAATATACTAGTTACTTATATATGTAGACAACATATACAAATATACTAGACAACAGTGATTCCACAGAAGAAACAGGATGAGAACAGAACGCCTAACTACTACTCCGAAGATGAAGTTGACTAGATTGTTAAAAAAAAAAAAAAGACAAGTACTTGTTTGGAGACAACAAGGGAGTGTTTGTGACTTTAAGGAATTTGCCTTTTCTTTGTCTTAGCTGAAGCCTAGTGAGGGTGTAGTTAGCATTATGGACTGCATATCAGGTGATCTGAGATGACCTTTAGTCTCTGTAATTTGAATTCTGACCGTGGAAGGATTTAAACTGTAAGGTTTTTAAATTCATTTGTGCTATAAAGCAATACAGCCATGTTTTAGTGGGAAAAGAGAAACCAGTGTAGACCTTGGATTTATTTCAGTGCTTATTTGTAAATGAGGCATACTTTCTGAGCATGCAAGGGTCTCAGATTATTAAATAGACTGATGCTAAACTGGATTATGCAGAGAAGAATGTTTTGGCAAGACTACAGCTTGTAACAGAAATTTCTGGGGTTTTTGAAAGGTGATCTTTAGTGTGCAGTGCATCATAAAGTAGTAGTTTGAAACAGAAATGACCATGGATTTTTAGGAAAATTGTCAGGTTGAAAATTATTTTGGAATATTCTGACTATTTCTTCTGGAAGAAAATGTACTTCAGCAGTGCTTTGCTGCAACAAAATGGCTCATGAGCAGCACTGGGTCATTCTGTTAATTCTGCTAAACAGGGTGTGTGACAGCAAGGGTTTCTGAAGGACCAAAGGTTCAGAGAATATATTTCATTACTCTCTGAGGCAGAAGACAATTGATCTCAGTTTATAAAATCGAGAAGATAGGAAGCATTTGTTCTGACTCTGTGAAGGAACTGCTAAATTTAGTGTCCTCTTGGATCTGTTTCTTCTTTTCTGGCTCACTGTAGAAAGAAGGCTGGGCCATATTAATCCTAACTGTTTTAGGCTTGTGTAATGAGTAGACTTAGTTTCTGCCAGCCTCTTTGACCCAGCTTTTTATTTTGTAATCTTTCCCTTGTGAACAACTTTCTCCCCTCACAACTTGCAGTGTGAGGATCCAGTGTGTTTTTTGGTAGCTCTTCTGTTTATGGCAGTGAAACCAAAGGACTGCACTGTTGAAAGAGGTGATTACAGAGGGTGGAACTCTACAGTTTCAGGCTTAACTGTGAAGTAATAAAATGTAGAATGTAAATGTCCTACTCAGGATCCAATGCCAGAATATAAAGTTCTGTAGAAAAATAAATAATATGTGGCCAGTTGTGTTAATGGTCTTGGTGGGATATGATACTACTGCTTTTGATGGTCACAATGGTTTTTGCCTCCCTGTGAGCATATACAAAAATGACTTCACCCTACTGGTCTGTGACTTCATTTAAAAATGAAAAGACATTTTAGTCATTATAATATTCTTAATTTAGTTGGTGTAAGTCTTAAGAATATTATAAAAGAATAATTTAAACAATGACAAAGCTATACAGTGGTGCTTAAAATGCCAGATAAAAGGAAAATTCCTGCTCCCCAACTTATAGCAATTCAAAAATTGCATTTGCTGGCATACCGATTCTTCTGTTTCTTTTAGGAGACTATTAGAAAGGGAATCTGGAAATAAGTTCGAAAAATGTAAAGAGCTGTTTCTGATCAAATCTGAGATGAAAAATTTGCAATTATTCTTTGTGTAGTAACTTCCTTTCACAAGCAGTTTATGTAATTCCATGCTACCTTAAGTTAATAGATCCAAAAGTGACTGACCTTTGGTTTCAAAGCTTGCTGATGTAGGCTTTCAGATTCTGTTGTTATGTAGGAAACATACTTTTAACTGCCTTCTTCCTTCTGTGCAAATAGTAAAATTGTTGAGTCTATTGCAGCTTATCTGCCTGTATGTATTTCCAATCCACACTGTGGAATTTGCATAATTATACCTAAAGGCAAATTAGATTTCCAAGGTTACTTTCTGTGCACCTACATTCCTGTGCCAAATTACCAGCATTACCATGACATCTAAGAGCACAGTGTTGTGAACCACAATTCTGCTCGTATTTTGGATGGTTGTGCAGGAGTTGGATAGGGCTGAATGGAATGTAATGGAATTTTTTTGAATAGGTTGCTCCTTCACAACAGTCCTGTCTTCCCGATCCTCATTTTAGGTATTGCTGTGATTTGAGAACTGCAAGATGGATTCTACGGTCATTTTAGTTCTAGGATGCCGTCTTCATTGTGAGCTGCTTTGGGACCTGACATATTCCTAAAGGCTTTTCAGCCTTGTGGAATAGGGTGAGGGTCATCTGAGTGACCCAGTGGCAGTGTTGGTCTCAGTGACTCTTGCTGTTACCTTTTTGGTAGCCAGGTCTTGGGGAATGCTGGGTAACCTATGGCAATACAATCAGCTGGTGTGACCTCCTGATGAGGTGACTGTGGCATTTGGGCTGTCTGAAGCATGAAGACCTTTGGCTACTCACCCTTAGCAGAAATACTGATCTTTATATTTATCTTGTGATGTATAAATTGAAGTGTTGAGCCTAGCTAGTAGAGTTAATCTGCCTCTAACATGAGTACACTAATATATATAATATCATTATATATTATATAATCTTTATTCCAGCTTCTGCAGTACTGGTGGATTTCTTGTGTTCTGTGTTACCTTTGCTCTTAACCCTAATTAGATATATGTTGGTTTTCCTTTCTGTTCCCCAGGGACAAGGCGGGTGGATACGGTATCCAGGCCCTTGGTGGAATGTTGGTTGAGTATGTCCATGGAGACTTTTTGAATGTGATGGGATTTCCTCTGAATCACTTCTGCAAAAAGCTAGCAGAATTGTACTATCCACCCTCTAAACATAATGTACAACATAAAAAGTATGACTCTATCCCTTCTGTGGACACTTTTGAGAACCTAAGTGATGGAGAGAGTGAATCTTCAAATTTCAGAGAGCACAAAGGTGCCAGTAAGTTGGACAGCAGTGGGAAGCATTCGCCAGGAGGTGTTTTAACTTCTGAAAACAGTTCTGGTGTCAGAACTGGTTTTACAGTACCTTTGGAAAATCAGAATGGAGTGTCACAAAGAGCACCAGAAGTTCCATCTAAAATTCTAGAGCTGATGGATGGTTTTAGGGCTTCAAAGGTAAGGAAAAAATAAGACTATTCATTACATTGCTGTCTGATACGATTGTTTCATTGGGCTTCAATATGTACCAGGTAATATGAAATACTTGAGCTGAGGTATGAATGTATTAATAATTAGAAAAAAAAGACCACTGAAGTTCTAGAGAGTCTAAGATAGCTGAAACATTGTTGGATGGGTTTTTTGTATTTGATTTTATCTGTTCTGTCTGTTCTATGAAATTTCAGTTACCCATTTGATAATTTTCTCTCTCGAGCTGAGGGAAAAGAAGTTTTGTGAGGTGTTTTGTTGTTTTGTTTTTTTTAACTGATCAGAAGAGCACAACCAAGCTGGAATTTATATACTCTGCAAAGAAAGCATTTAATATGGCTAACTTACCTGACTTAAAACTGTGACAAGAAATGTAAATATATTTTCTTTCTGATTTTTAATGCTTAGCATTAGAATTCCGTGGAAGATCTTAATTTTTTTATTGCCACTTAAGGATATTGTTTTTTAACAACCTATTTTGTGTTCCAGATGTGTTTAACTGATAATATCCATACTGTATGTGATGGTTGCATACTCATAAGAGCTCATGAACAAAGTCACATGCTCTATGTAGCAGCCAAGCATGATGAGAACTGTATAGCTGGACATTTTAAGTACCCCAGGTTTTCTACTCACAGTTTCAGTGTAGTGCAGACAATAGTGAAGAAGGGGAAGAAGAAATGAACAATGATCATTCTAATAGATTACTGTTCTCCATCAAGTCACTTGTGCTTTTGGAAAAGCAAGTGCTAAAAAAAAGTGCTAAAGTGGCAATGAAATGCAAACTTGGAACTAAAGATATAACAAGTTTGAGGGGTAAGAGGGAAGTTAATTCTTCTCCTCTATTTAATTTTTATTAAGCAGAAGGTCAATCCATTTCCTTGATTACCATTAATTTTTAAGTACATTATAGTCACTTGCAGTTGCAAAGAAATGTATTCTACAGTTGCTGTGTGCCTTCGCTCTTGAGCACTACATAAATGTCTTGGTTTTAGGTGTTTTAACTACTTTAGAATCCTGAAACTGCAAAATGGCAAATTTCAAACAAAGAGGTATATATTATTACATCTCATTAACTTTCCTCTCTGGTTTGGTTAGTATATCTTTACAAGTTCAGCTAAGGTTTTCAGCTTAGACCACTATTGCCCATGGGCTTTTCTTCACCTTGAGGCACTATCTGTTCTCTCGTCCCCATTCCATATGTATGTATCCTATTAAGTTGTGATGTAGTCCAGCCGTGTGGTGAAGTTGTTTGGGTTTTTTTCCCCTTAATTTTAATAAAACAAGGACCCATATTATAGCAACTGAATCTGTTACACTGTTTTTGTGGAGAGTTTGTTCTGTATGTTTTGGGTAAATCAAATTTAATTTGATCTTTTGGTATTGATTCATATGCTTAAGAATGTTTGACCTTATGGAACAGTCTTATAGATGAGGGTATGCTAGATATCTGAATAAAGAAGTGATCTTCGTGCAAAATCTTTAGGTTGCATCCCAGAATATTGAGTTCCCTTCTCTCCTAAACGCTTTTGCTAAAAAATCTGTTATCAGCTAAGATACTGAAACCCTCTGAGAGGGAAAGAAGCAATTTTTAGGAGTTTGTTAAGCTGTGTTGCACTTTAAGAACAATAGTTGCGTAGAATAATTGTAGGCAGATTCTTTTGTTTCTTGGTTGCAGTCTTTTAAACTCAACACACTATAGCAATTTTTTACCTACATGTAGGTTCTGCTTGTAGCCTCTAAGCTGAAGATATTTGATCACCTGAAACATAAAGGTCCAGCGAAGGCTGTGGATATTGCAAATGAGATTGGAACCTCTGTATGTGGAACAGAAAGACTCCTTGATGCATGTGCTGCTCTTGGATTACTGGAGAAGACACCACAAGGTGACTAATTTATCCTCCCTGCAACTCCATATAACTGAAAGACTATAGGACCAGAAGAGATGCTTTGAAGGTTACAAGTCTAACTTGATATTGTGGGTAACTTGGAAGGGGGAACAGATGTTGCTCCTTTGCTTTCATTATCAGTAGCTGGAATTGGTCCATGTTGGGGCAAGCTTTATGCAACAAATACATTCAGGTGTCCTTTGTGGAAACCTTAGATTGTGTTTGCTCTCTGGACATGGTACTGAGCAAGTATCTAAGAAAAGGTTATATGGACAGTCCCAGGGAGCAGTGTAATAGCTTAGATGTGTCATCTGCACTTGGGTCACAACAACCCCCTGCAGCACTACAGGCTGGGGGAAGAGTGGCTTTAAAGCTACCCAGTGGAAAAGGACCTGGGGGTGCTGGTCAACAGCAGATAGATATGAGCCAGCGGTGTGCCCAGGTGGCCAAGAAGGCCAATGGTGTCCTGGATTGTATCAGAAATAGTGTGGCCAGCAGGACCAGGGCAGGGATCCTCCCCTTGAATCAGCACTGGTGAGGCCACACCGCAAATCTTGTGTTCACTTTTGAGCCCGTCATGACAAGAAGGACACTGAGGTGCTGGAGTGTGTTTGCAGAAAGGTAACAGAGGTGGTGAAGGGTCTGGGGTACAAGTCTTATGAGAAGGGAGCTGGGATTCTTTAGCCTGGAGAAAAGGAGGCTTAGAGGAGGCCCTATCACTCTCTACAACCACCTGAAAGAAGACTGTAGCAAGGTCAGAGTTGGTCTTTTCTCAAAAGTAACAAGCAACAATGTAAGAGGAAATGGCCTTGAATTGTGCTGGAGGAGATTTAGATTTAATACTAGGAAAAATTTATTCTCTGAAAGAGTTGTCAAGCATTGGAACAGGCTGCCCAGGGAAGTGGTTGAGTCACCACCCCTGGAGGTATTTAAAAGGCATGTAGATGTGGCACTTGGGGACATAGTTTAGCGGTGAATTTGACAGTGCTGGGTTAAAGGTTGGACTTGATAATCTTAGAAGCACTTTGGTGGAAAAGACTTTTTTGTTTCTATCTAAAGTAATGGTCAAATTCCGTTCCCTGCTGCAGCAGTGCAGTCAGTCTTCAGCAGAGAATCGGGATTTTAATGAGAGCTCTGGAATGTGTCCTTTCATGAACAACAATCTAAATTTTAGTTCCCCTAACTGTAACAGTCCTTGAAAGTCTATGTAGGTGAGAGAGTCAGTATTACGAATAACTGTTTCAGTCCACACTATGTATTTCTAAGTTTCCATATATATCATGTACATAGTAAGACATGAAATGGTTGAGTGCCAAGAAAAGGAGATAAAGGAGTCTTTTAAACTTGGTTAGAGGTCAAAACAAAGGCAAAACATACTGGAGAAAGCTTGAATTTAGGGAAGAAGAAGCCATAATCTAAACAAAAATGCAATCAAGGATGAGGAACTTCTAACACTCTCCCTTGAATATTAGGTATCTGGGATACTCAGATTTAAAATAAAAATAATAAGTTAGTGTGTATCTATATTTTTCAGCATTTAAATGCTTTTTAGGAACTAAGTACTTGCTCCTTTCAGAGTGACAAGAGTTTGAGAATTCTTTACTTTTTATGCAAAATTTCTAGTAATAGATCATAAGATCAGGATTTGCTAGCAGGAAAACATGCTTTCACATTTTAAGTGACAGTTGGAAAGTACCAAAACTAAGCTGGTTACAATTATTTTCTTCCTTAAGGTTACAGTAATACAGACTCAGCAAATACCTTCCTGACCTCAGATGGTGAATACTCACTTCATGGCTACATTATTCATTCTAATGATCACCTTTGGCCTCTCTTTACAAACTTGGAGTCTGCTGTCAAAGAAGGCAGCAGGCAGAACCATCGAGCCTTTGGAAAGAAAGCAGAGGATTTATTTAAGGTAATAAAAACTCTCATTAGTATCAAAGCCAGCTGTGAGGAGCCCAGAACTGATCTAGGGGCAAATGGAGACTGTGCTGTCTCGGGAAGTTTGTCAGTCTCAGAAATGGTAGAAACACAGAGAAACTCATGAGTCCCAGGCTTCTGTTCCCTTCAACTTTAGGCTATGAAGTGGTAGAGCAGTTACAGAACATATTGGGAAATTCAAGCACTGACAAAAATTCTGTCTGAAGTGTTGCCCATCCCACAGACACTGACAGAACAACCTCTAAGCCTGTTTAATTTACATTTGTGTTCTTTTTATAAAAACAATTAGTACCTTATCACACATGCACTCCTTTCATATTGGGTGCCAGTCACTTGATACTGATGTGCATCCCAGTTGGGCTGTTCTGACTGTGTAGTCAAAGCTGTTTTCTGTCGATGCAGTGGAGAAGGGATCTAATCTCCTTTATGATGGTTTGTAGTTTTGTATGTGCTTCAAGCTGCTGTATGTTGCTGATAAAATTGTAATCCTTTCCACCAACTGTTTCCATCTCTCTGGCATTCCTTTTCCAATAGTAGCCCAGGTGCGTGTGTTCAGACTGGAGAATCACTTAGGGTTACAATTAGCCTAACTTGTCAGTTACCCATCTGGTGAAGCAGGTGGAGAGGCATAAATATTTGTGCCTGTTTAAGGAGGGAGCTGTTAGTGTGAGCAGGAGAATGTCAGGAGTTCATCTCTGACAGCAGGGCTGGCTTAAATTGTGTACTTCAGACTACACCCTGAGGTTCTTAATTTGTATTTAACTTCTAGATGGTGATGAAACCACCCTCCTAAAGGAGATGTCTACATCCCTCATGTACAGTTGATGGAAGGAAATAAGAGCTTTCGGAGACTTAGGAAGGTCTTGTTAACCTAATGTTAGTATTTAGATCAGTGGTGAACAGAAACTCCTTTAGGAATCATTCAAAGGGTCCTTCAGAGGGAATTAATATACTTTGCGCTGCTGCAGTAGATGCCTCAATTTATATACTAATTCAGTGATTTAATGAATGTGAACTGGATCTCATCCTTTGTTACACACCTGGATTACCAACGTGCCTTCGCTTGAGTGATACCTGTGACCAGTCTGGACCTGGGCTCCCTATATGTACAGGATAGTATGTCTGAGCAGAAATACATGAGCTGCCTATGGCACTGTGCACACCACAGCCTAGAGGTTCTTCTGTTCCACTGTAGCCACAAAACCAGCCATAACTGGTGAAATCTGTATGAAAGTGAGACATAAAGGGATTCATGCATATGTATCATGTAATGAGATTTTGATACTGAATGCTTGCTTATTCTCTAATTAAAAAAAAAAAAAAAAAAAACAAAACAAAAGCCAACAAAAAATTGTATGAGCTTTAATGTTTCAGATTTACATTACAGTCCAATTATCTGGTTATTTTCCCATCATGGGAGAATAAATGTCAGAATTAAATGAAAGCAATTTGTGAGTATGTCAAGAAGAAGGAATACCTGAGGTTGTCTTTCAGTCTCCTAAATCTGCCCTTTCAAACAGTTTAAAGTCTGGAGACATCTTACTGTGGAACAAATGTGTTAGTAAATATATGTGAAAGACACACTACTTCTTCAAAAGGCACTTTTCAGATTACCTCTTTTTCCTGCTATGATGCCCCTACTCCCACGGCTATAAGTGTTGAATTTAACAGCCTTTGGGAGTTCACCAAGACCCGGTTCAAACCAGAGAAGTTTGTTTTGTGAGACACACTGCAACAGATGTCTGTGATCATAATTCTTGAGGGAATGCAAAAGTCTGCTTTTCACTACAGTAAAACAACAAAGGACTTTCATTAGCAATTATTCAGTGGCACTTTTAACTGATCTTTTATTTTTAGAATTCTAATGTTCACAGTGTGCACCTACTGTCTTGGTTGTACATAGTTTTAGATAAATAATGAAAATCAATTTCAGGTTTTCTTCCTTTTTAGGACTATTATCACAGCCAGGAGGGAAAGCAACGTTTTATGGCTGCCATGCACAGCATTGCTCGCCTGACAGCAAGAGACGTGGCTACAGCATTTGATCTTTCACAGTTTAAATCTGCTTGTGATTTAGGAGGTATTTCTTGTAATTGTATTTGTATACAAATTAAAAGGAAAAGCTTGATTTCAGTTCCACAATTTATTACTTTAAACATATGTATCATTTTTTTACTGGAACTGTAGTAATATTAACTACTGTTATTTTCCTGGTATTGTAATGTCAGAATGAAGGAACCGAGTGCAGCTAATTGAAAGCAGAGTTACCTAAATGGTATTTGAGTAGTTTGAAATAAATGAATGCTTGTCTCAATCACTTACATACTGACACAGCTCAACACAGAAAATAAAAGATAGTTTGTGGCTCAAGTGATAGAGCATTGGGCTGGGAGTGCCATTTTAAGCTGTGTTGTTGCTCTCCTTTGACATGTCCAAGATCTTCAAAAGTAATGAAAGTAGTGAACCACTCTTATTGGGGTGTCAAACTTGAAACACATCACTGCTAGAACAAAAGGTTTTGGTTCTTTTTGGTTTCTTTTGTTTATTATTTTAATAGTATCTAAGATGTCCACCAAAATGTTGAAGACCAATGGTACACCTGAAGAAACTCTTCTTGTTAGCAGCTTTTTTTGCCCTGTGCTTGGAGCTGCACAGAGGGAGTGTTATTACATAGGGAAAGATCCACTGAAGGAAGAACACTTTATTTAGTGCCTGGGGAGGGGGACAGCATGTCAGAGGAATTAAAACAATACTGGTGCAACCTTTGCCACTTTTGCAGATACTCCAGCACTTGGTGATCTTTATCCTTTACTACACTGGAGAGTGTTTGTCAAACTTCACATACTGGTGCTTTTTAAATTCTAAACAGTTCTAGTGCTCTTTGTCAACAAGTTAGAAGCCCTTGCCATTTCATTTACACCTTTTTGCTCCCTGAAGAAACTCTGAGGTACTGGTATCAAAGGTCATATTAGCAATTCTGTATCAGTAAGGAGTCATGCCTGCATTCCCGAAGCTTTAAAACATTGTTCTAACCACCAGGAAGTCGTATTGCCCATGTTTAATTGTGGAGCTGACTGTCTACCTCTAGTTCTGATTTTATGTCTCTATTTTATATACAGTCTTGTCCTTAAAAATGCCTGAAAATACTGGGAGAAAATACTTGATTTGACTTTTTTAAACTTTTAACAGGTTGCACTGGAGCTCTGGCTTGTGAATTAGTACAAATATACCCAAATCTCAAGGTCACAGTATTTGACCTTCCAGAAGTCATTGCAAACACCTCTTACTTTCAGCCTTCAGGACAACACACAGCTCCAGTGACATTTGTATCAGGTAAATGTAGTGCATGATCTTTTGAATGATTTCTGTTATCCTGAAGCACAGAACAGGCTCTTTTGCCGCAGCTCCAAAAATGTATCCTAGTACAAGGCACTGCAGACTCACCCACCCTAAAAGGGGACATTGTATTTTTCAAGTCTGTGAGGATGAAAACAAACCTGCTGTGACTGGAGAATGTGGATAAATAAGTATGAATTAGTCATTTTTTTTATTAGCTCTGGGAGCAGAGGTTGCATGTCCTCAGGCATTTCATTTCTAGGCAAGATCAACATGGTGGCTGCAAAGAACTTTGTCTCCTTCCTTGCTTTAGGCTTGCTCTCTATTCTTATGTTACAGAATTCTTACCTGTGATCTGATCTTCTCTTTGACGAGGCTTTCCTTATCTGCAAATCAGAGCATACCTGTACCTGTTTGTTCTTGTTACTTTCTTTACCTCCGCTGGAGCTCCTAGTTCCTCTGCAATATTTTAATTTCATTTTGTAGGAATATATTCTGTGGTTTCTGCTGGAATGTACTAACTTTGCTTTCCAACAGGTGACTTCTTCAAGGATAATCTTCCAGAAGCAGATCTTTACATCCTTTCACGTATTCTTCATGACTGGCCTGATGAAAAGATACATGTGCTGTTAAGCAAGATATCAGCTCTTTGCAGACCAGGTAAGTTTTGGGGTTTTTTTTCATCTTCTGGAATTAAAGGTAAATGTTAATATACCTTTAATGAGTAATAATAAGTTCATATTAAAAAAACATTTCTCTGTTCAGTCATAGTAACCTTTGCTTGAATGTCTAGGCTTACATTATGGTAATACGTACTAAGAAAAAGAAGGAAACAAAACTGCAAGTAAAATTATGTATAAATAAGCTTTTACTATAGTTGCAGGCTTCACATACAACTGTATCATCTCCCCAATCTCTGACAGGCCCAGTCTTTCTAACTAAGCCCTGTATCACCAAATAACTAAGCATGTGCTTATTTCTAGACACAAAAATGGTCTAACTAAAGTTCCTTTAGGTTAATCAAGAAGCAGTGGTTTTGCTGTCATTTTGCTGTCTCAGTAGTGCCCAGAATATGATCAGCTGGCTGGAGTTCAGTACTACTTTATGCACACATATCATGAGAAGTATGTAGCCTCTTTGACTTTCTTCTGCATTTGAATCCTAGAATCATAGAATAGTTCAATTCAATAGTTCCAGTTAAAGTTGGATCATCCACTCTAATTCCCTGCTTCTTGCAGGACTAACTAAAACTAGATCATATGACTAAGAGCATTGTCCAAATGGTCCTTGAACTCTGTCAGGTTTGGTGTCATGACCACTTTCTGGGGAGCCTGTTCCAGAGCCCAGACATGTTCTGGATGAAGAACCTCTTCCTAATGTCCAAACTGAACTTACCCTGATGCAGCTTCATTCCATTTCCTCCTGTCCTGTCAATGGAGGAGATGGGCACCTCCTCCTCCACTGCCCACCTTGAGGAAGTTTTAGATAGTGATGAGGTCACCCTTCAGCCATTCCTTCTCCAGGCTGAACCAGCTGCACTCAAACTTTGCCCTTGAGGCCTTTCACCGTCTTGGTCACTTTCCTGTGGATACCCTCTAATAGTTTGTCCTTCCTACATTGAGGCAGCCAAAACTGCACACAGTATTTGAGGTGAGGCTGCACCAGCGCAGAGTAGACTGAGGCAGTCACCTGTGTAGTGATTGGCAGTACTGTGCTTGATGCATCCCAGGACACAGTTGGCCCTTTGGACTGCCAGAGTGCATTGCTGACTCATATTCAGGCAGTATTAAAGATCAAAGGAGAAGACAGAAAGCAGAAAAGCCTGACTGCTAAGATCATCTGATTCCTTAATCCAGCTGTAGCCCCAAAGTTCGTTTCAGAGGAGAACATTGAAAATAAGATCTAGGCCATAAAGTATAATCCTGATTATAAATTAAAGAAAATTGGGGGTAACTGTATTAACCTTTTTATGCAAAGATTTGTGTATGACAGATACTTACAGGAGTTGTTTGGTTCAAATGAAAGCGAGGCTGAGTTCAAGAGTCAGGCAGTGACATGAACTTTACTGAAGTGGAGACAGTGCTCTAAACTCTCCCTTTCTAACAATAACACGGTTGCCTCCAGGAAGAGATTACTGAAAGTAAAGTTCTTTCACTGATTTCCATTAAAAGATTAGCCTGAGGGACCTCTAGAACTGTCCCTGAACAAAACACTAAAGACTTGAAGCTAAAAATACTTACACTGAACCACTTTTGGTTGTTTTGGAATTGCAGGAAGTGCCTTGCTAGTGGCAGAAACTGTGCTTGATGAACAGAAGACACACCCTTCTAGAGCTGTGCTACAGTCCCTCAGTATTACTGAAGGCAAGCAGAGAAGTGGCTCAGAATATAAACAGCTACTGGAGAAGTACAGGTTCACAGATGTACAAATTAAGATCACAGGAAACTTATTAGATGCTGTTCTATGCTTCAAAAAGAGTCTGTCACTGTAGTATGCCCAGAAGCAAACTGGGATTTTCATACACTTGTGCAATATATGCATCATCAACCAACACCTGTTACTAGTTTAGGGTTATTTTGACCCTTATCTGAAGCAGAGTTATTACAAAAAGTTGGACTGCAGCTCCTGCAGGAGTGAGTTCTGTGCATTTTAAAAGGTATCTGGGGCAGGCCAAAACTCCTGTGTATGAAATACCTTAATGTCCAGTTCTCTTGGCAAATTTTCAGACTGTATTAAGCTTAGACTTGACATATCTGTATAGCACGTCAAGTTAAAACTTCAAGTTTGTATTGAGCCACATTAATACCTTAGTTTTTTTGGACCTTAAAATACAATTCTCCTTCTGCAGCGTATTCAGTGGTTACTGCTCATTTTTATCAGAAATGAAAAAAATTAATACTGTGCTATCTGTCTGAAATTGGGGATATTAATCCCCTTTTTATCACTGTTCTGTGAGACTTTACTTGAAAACATCTTAAGGACACCCTTTTAAGCATTCTTTCTGCAAGCAAAAGTGAAAACAGGACAAAACTCAAATGTGTTCCTACAGCAGCTATAATATCACAAAGGAACTTCAGTGGCCTCTGACCTCCAGTCACAGACTTTACACATACAAGTTGCAGTTCAATGCTGTTCCTATTGCTTACTATCACTTTTGGGGTTTTCTGAATATGGTTGAATGGCTGTATATGTTTTCTATCTCATTACTTGAGATGAGTTACTTGAGATGAGTTTTAGGATTTATGTATAAAACCTCTTATGAAAATTAAAAATAAGTTTATTCGTGCTTCAGTCATTAATTGGAGAAGTATGTGCTGTATCTTATCTCTTCAAGTAATTTGTCACTATTGTCATCTCTCCTAATGTTTATTTTTTTCCTGATACTTCACTGATATTTATATTTTTTATTTAACATATACTTTGTAGTGGAAGCCTCTCTGGAAATTAAAGCTGTACTTTCAAACTAGCTTTCTTCTTTATCAGTTGTGAGTTTCTTGCTTGTCACACTTGTACAGCAATAATCCCAATAAACCAGTTTGAAAGAGGCTGTGCCAATACTGACCCACCAACCTCAGCAAAAGAGAGCAAGCTGATGAGCAAGATCAAGAGTTGCATCTGCCTGGATGTTACTAAATCAAGAGTTACTTTGCTCTTTGAGCACTGAGGAAAGGAAATGTACTACAGTGATTCAAATCATCAGAAGAAACATGCCTACTCCTTAGCATTTCAGCTGTCCAAAATCAGGGAAATGTCAGACTTCTACCACACTGAGGTTTTTAATTCTTAGCAGAAGGGTTTTTTAAAATGGAAATCTGACTGATCTCATCTGTACAGACATTTAAAGATAAGGCCAAATATTCAACAACTGAATAAATTTAAAGTGTTTCTTTTCCATGTTGACATGAAGCTTGCCAGTAGCTTAACAGGGTTGTATACTGAGGCTCATTCCAGCAGTCAGGTGTTTTTCATCTCATACTTAGTCATAATGCTGTTCTTTAAGCTGCTATAAGCTGTTTGAGTCAGAAAGTTTCAATCCTAAAGTTAGCCTGCCTATAATGAACACAGACTTTAAAACTGTGCCCCTGAGTACTATGTATCTGACTGTAAAATTTGAATAGAATGTTCTTGGTTACCACACAACCTCAGTGTACTTTATGATTAAAGCACAACACTCCATACACATTAAGCATTAGTCCCTTGGGCATGGTGTCTGTGGTAATGCACCACAGCTTTGCACTCTCAGGATAATTAAGCATTGGAGCAGGTGGCCCAAAGAGGCTGTGGAATTTCTGTCCTTGGAGGCTTCAGGATGTGAGAACGAAGCCCTGAACAAGCTGAACTGACTGTAGAGCTGCTCTGCTTGGAATAGGAGATTGGACTGGAGGTCTCCTGTGGTCTGTTTCAGTCTCAGATGTTCTATAATCATTTGGTGTAGCCCAGTCACCTGAGAAACATCCTCTCTCATTAATATTCAAAATGAGTTTTTCAGTTGCTGTGGAGAAAGCTGATATCTTTTGCTGACTGGTAGAAGGGGTGGTTTTAGTGGTCTGACACTGAAAATATTTCCTAAGCAATACACATAACTGAGGAAGATTTTCAAGACGTGAAGAATGAGGGGGTTAGGTTTTAAACTTTCTAGTCAATTGTTAAATACCTGAGGTGTATGAGTAGGAATGGCTCTGAGGAGATTGCCTTAAAGGGCAGAAAAATATGAATGTTATGCATCACTTAGTAATAAAATTACTGTAAACTGCTGCTATTTTGATCTTAGTTGGTGGCCTCCTACCCCCACTGTGCCAAAAGAAACCACCACCTAAGATGCAAGACAAATAAGTAAAGCGATGCTTGTTTTGTCAGTAGCCCTCTCTTGGCTTCCCTTTCCCCTCACAGGTCTGAAGATGGAGGAAAAGACTCTGTGTAAACAGGAGCATTTAAGTTCCGTTCTCATCCTTAGGTCAGTCCCACCACAAAGAACTCAGTTCCTACAGAAATATTATACACAATATATTGTACAGAAACATTGACTTCTCTGTTTCTACAATGTTCGCCATCCACTGCTTTGTCTGCTTGGCACCATTTCAATATGAGTGTGAAGCAGCAGTATATCCCAAAGAGAAGCAACTTGATACTGTCTCAGTTTTCCATAACCCTCATGCCCAATCTACAGAAGTCATCCCCTTTTCCCCTGAAAATGGACTCACAACTTTGACTTGTGTGTGATCACTCCATACTGTGAAAGGGAATTTCCTGGGGTTTGTGAGAGGAGTGGATAATTCATTTAATAGTAGAGCAAATCCATAAATGATAAAGGAAGTCACCTGTGTCTTGCAGTTTGCATCCCTACATATGGTAGCAGAAATTTTCCTGCCTGATAATAGATTAGAACTGTTCTATGTGTTTGTTTTTTTTTTAAATTAGGCTGTGCAATTTTGCTGGCTGAAATGGTGTTGGATGATGAGAAGAAGAACAGGAGCACAGCTCTGCTGCAGTCTTTGAACATGCTTGTGCAGACAGAGGGAAAGGAGAGAAGTGGCTCTGAATATCAAGCCTTGCTGGAACAACATGGATTCACAAATGTCAAAATCAGAATTACAGGAAATTTGTTAGATGTCATTCTCTGTGTTAAGACCTAGAAAAAATGGATTTAGTAAAATCTGGATGTCTTCTACTCATGTTTGATGTTTTGTAATTATGCAAGTACCTTCAACCCCTATCAATGTCATAAACAAGAAATGTTATGTCAGCTTTCAGATGTTACTTTTAAAAAGGGGGAGAGATTGATTTAATTTATTTTTTACTTCAGTAAAATGATGCCAGAAGGTTCTGGTAGTGATACTGTTGCTGCACAACACCTGTAGCACACAAATGCTGGCACCAGCTTCTTGAGAGAGTCAAGACAATCACACAGAATCACAGAATATGCTGAGTTGGAAAGGACCCACAAGGATCATCGAGTCCAACCCTTACCCTTGCACAGGACCATCCTGAAGAGTCACCATGTGCCCAAGAGTATCGTCCAGACACCTCTTGAACTCTGTCAGGCTTGGTGCTGTGACTGCTTCCCTGGGGAGCCTGTTCCAGTGCCCAAACACGCTCTGGGTAAAGAACCATTTTCTAATATCCAACCTAAACTTCCCCTGACACAACTTCAGGCCATTCCCTTGGGTTCTGTCACTGGTCACTCCAGAGAAGAGATCAGTGCCTGCCCCTCTTCTTCCTCTTACAAGGAAGTTGTAACTGCAATGAGGTCTCCCCTGAGTCTTCTCTTCTCCAGGCTGAACAGACCAAGTGGCCTCAGCCACTCCTCATACAGCTTCCCCTCAAGGCCCTTCACCATTTCCATTGCCCTCCTTTGGACACTCTGTAATAGCCTAATGTCTTTTTTATATTGTGGCACCCAGAACTACATACAATATTCAAGGTGAGGCCACACCAGTGCAAAGCAGAGCGGGACAGTCCCCTCTCTCCAATGGCTGGTGATGTTTTCCCTGATGCCCCCCAGGACACAGTTGGCCCTCCTGGCTGCCAGGGCACTGCTGACTCATATTCAACTTGCCAATGACCAGGACCCCAGGTCCCTTTCCATGGCACTGCTTTCCAGTATGTCTTTCCCCAGTCCGTACGTACATTCAGGGTCACCCTCTCCCAGGTGCAGAATCCAGCACTTCCCCTTGTTGAACTTCACATGGTTGGTGATTGCCCAGTTCTCTGATTTGTTGAGGTCTCTCTGCAGGGCCTCCCTGCCTTTGAGGGAGTCAGCAGCTCTTCCCAGTTTTGTGTTATCTGCAAACTTGCTCAGTATCCCTTCCAGTCCTGCACCCCAGTCATTTATGAAGATGTTGAAGAGCACAGGGCTTAAGATGGAGCCCTGTGGAACCCCACCAGTGACAGATTGCCAGCCTGATGTTACCCCATTCATTATTACCCTCTGTGCTTGACCCGTGAGCCTCTGCTTTGTGTGAGGTTTCTGGAAAAAGGCAGTTGTATAAAAGCACAAGTTTCATCTGTGATTGTAATGAGATTATATGTGGGGACACAACATTTGATTCAAGAACATCATCGTGCTCCTTTTCAGCCCTACTTGATTTGTGAGCTCTTATAAAAGTGGATAGCAGAATACAAGATTAGATAAAGAAAAGAGAAAAAAAAGGTGCAGAAATGAAAAATCATAGTGATGGAGAGAAAAGGATTTTCCCCAGTGAGATGCAGATGTGCTTCAAAGGTGAACAGGACAGGGGAGCTATTGAACAGTTTCCTATCACAAGGTACATGCATTTTGTTTTTCACAAAAGTTGAAGAATTGACAATACTCAAGAGTTTCAGAATACGAAGTTCTTTTTTAATCAATAGAAAATTTTGTGGGGAAAAAACCCCTAGCCTTGCAGACATTGTGTTGTGCTAAAAAGAGTAGTAACATTCAGTTATAAACTTTTTTAAAAGGAAAAATACCACACTAAGCTGTGGGTGCCTCGCTGAATATATTCACCACAGCCTTTCATAAATTACGTCCAGAATATGGTCCTGTAAATCTATATGTGCCTAACCCTGTGTGAGCACAGGAGTCACTTCACTCTGTCTGTATTATGATGTAGAATATAGAACAGCACACAATTTACTTTGGATCTTTTGTTGTGCAAAGAAAAAAAAAGTATACACAGCATACTGCAGTAGGCTATGCCTGGCACATCCTGTTCTCACAACATGTCCTCTGAGAGAGATGCTCTCATTTTGAAATCCTGCAAAGTACATACATGTGTAAGCAGTGGTTTCTGGCACCTCAGCTACTGCAGCTTTTAGGTTCACCAGTCATCTGTTTAAAAAAAAGGTTTGGCTTTATTTACTTTGGTAGGAAACAGCCATTAAAAGTGAAAGCAGTAACAAAAGGTGTGTGTGAACTAATGCCCTCCAACTAGAACAATTTCATTACTTTTAGAAAGAATGGGTATAATTTCAGACATGTTTGACCATTAGGTACAAAATATCACTTTCAGCATACAATAAAATTAGCAAAGTTACTGATGAAACTACTGTCTTGGTAGGGGCTGGGGCCCTGCCATGAGTGCTTACACTGGCAGCCTGCAGAGGAGGTTTTCACAGCATCTAGATTTGAGCACCAACACAAGAAGCTGGAATCACACTTTCCCATTGTCCCTCTAGGAAACTGTGGTTAAGTTCTTTGGCATTTCATTGTCTTGGATCAGTTCTGTGAAGAACAGAAAAGCCCCATGGTGTGACATTTGGCACTGCAGTGGTAAGGAGGAGGTGGGAACAGAACTTGGAAGCAAGGATATGCCATTGATCAGCATTACCCAGAGGGTGGTGAGCATGAAGTGAAACCCACTGGTGCCCTGGCAGTGCCCCAAATCTGCTCCCCTCCACCTGACAGCTACTGCTGTCCTCTGTGACCCCATGCAGAAAGCTGTGCCTCCATCCTACACTGGCTTCCAACAGTCACCACTGAAGAAGCCTCCTGGTTCACTTGGTTGTCTCACTCATTGACTACTGTATGGGCTCACAGACTCACCCCCCAAACCCAGTGCTTTACTGCCTCACGCTCAGCTTCACTGACTCTCAGAATCAGTTATGTTAGAAAAGACCTCTGAGATCATCGAGTCCAACCTGTGACCAAATACCACCATGTTAACTAGACAAAGGCACTGAGTGCCACATCCAGTCAAATACCTCCAGGCATGGTGACTCCACCACCTCCTTGGGCAGTCCATTCAAATGTCTAATCACGCTTTCTGTGAAGAAATTCTTCCTAAAGTTCTATCTAAAGCTCCCCTGGCAAGCTTAAGACGGTGTCCTCTTGTCCTATCTACTGTTCCCTGGGAGAAGAGGCTGACTCCCACCTGGTTACAACCTCATTTCAGGTAGTAGAGAGCAGCTAGGTCACCCCTGAGCCTCCCTTTCTTCAGGCTAAACAACCTCAGCTCCCTCAGCCCTCCTCATAAGACTTGTGCTCCAGACCCTTCACCACTCTTGTTGCCCTTCTCTGGACATGCTCCTGCACCTCAATGTCTTTCTTGTAGTGAGGGGCCCAGAACTGAACACAGGATTTGAGATGTGGCCTCACCAGTACTGAGTACAGGGGGACAACCACTTCCCTGGTCCTGCTGGCCACACTATTTCTGGCACAAGCCAGAATGCTACTGGCCTTCTTGTCCACCTGGGCACACTACTGGCTCATGTTCAGCAGCTGTCGACTAGCAGCCCCAGGTCCTTCTACACTAGGCTGCTTTCCAGCGATTCTTCTCCAAATCCGTAGCAATGCATGAGGTGGTTGTGACCTAAGTGCAGGACCCGGCACTTAGTCTTGTTGAACCTCAGACTGTTGGTCTCGGGTCATCGATCCTGCCCGTCCAGATCTCTCTGCAGGGCCTTCGTGCTGGGCGGTGCGGGGCAACACACCAGATGGGGCAACACAGAGCCGCTGGGCTCTGCAGGCTGGTGCGGGCGCTACCGACGGCGGCACCAAACGAACGTGGAGAGCGCTTGGGAAAGTATGGGTAAAAGTGTGAGCAGCGAGGTGACCGCCGCGCTGCCCCGCGGGGGCCGGGCCGGGGCGGAGGCGGCACTTGCCGGGCGGTGGCGAGGCAGGCCCGCCGTGTGTGACGCGGCGCTGCGGTACTGGCGCGGCGGGGCGGGGGGTGCGGGGCGGGCCCCCCGTAGGCCCCGCCCCCGGACCGGGCTGGCCAATGGGGTGGTGCGGGGCGTGGCCGGCGGGCCCGGCATTAAGGCCACGCGCGCGGCACGCCCGCCCTTTCGGCTTGAGGGACAGCGGCACTGACTCCCGGCTGCGCGCGCGAACATGGCGGACCAGGCCATCTCCTTCCTCAAGGACTTCTTGGCGGGCGGCGTCGCCGCCGCCATCAGCAAGACCGCGGTGGCGCCCATCGAGCGGGTCAAGCTCTTGCTCCAGGTCAGCGGCGCGGGCGAGAACGGCGAGCGCGGGCAGAGCCCGTCACCGTCCCCCTCAGGCGCCGGGCCCGGCGGGGGCACAGGTTCGGGCGGAGGGTGGGTGGGGGTCGCGGCCGCCGCGGGACAAAGGGCGCGGGAGAGGCGGTGGCGGCTGGCGGGAAGGTCACGTGGACGGTGGCGGGGAAGTCGAAGCCGGTTCCGCCGTGCGGGGCTCGGCGCGGCGGGCGGGCCCGGCCTAGGGGGGCGGCCGCCGCTGGTGTCACTTCCTGCCGCCCTCGCTGCCGGCGCCGAGGGCACGGCGGGGAGGCGAGGGCGGCCGCTCCCGCCGCCATCTTGGCGGCCCTCACGTGACGCGCGCCCGCGCAGCGCATTGGCCCGCGGGCGGGGCGCGGCCGGCGCGCGGGGCCCGGCGTGACCCGGCGGCGCCCAAGGTGATTGGGGTGACCTTCGCGGTGCCGCTGGCCGAACGCGGGCTCCTGCCTGCCCGCCCGCGCCCCCCCGCCCCTCTGTCAGTAAGGGCTCTGGCCTTTAGCTGGGCCTGTTCTGAGTGCCGCGTCCAGTCTGTCCTTAAACACCTCTGTGGACGGTGAGCCCACCACTTCCCTGGGCAGCCCATTCCAATGTCTAATCACCCTTTCTGTGAAGAAATTATTCCTAATGTCCAACCTAAATCTCCCCTGGTACAGCTGGAGGCTATATCCTGTTGTCCTGTTGCTAGTTGCTGGGATAAGAGGCCAACCCCCACTTGTCCCTATTTTTGCAAGTCCTGAGGTCTGAGGAAGTTAGGAAGCAATTTTAAGCCTTTTTCTTAACAATAAGACAACCCTAAGCCATTCAGAATTAACAACTTTTTTTGTATAATAGAAGCAGGGTTAAGCCCAGCTATGGCATAGGCCACTCAAGGCATGTAGTCAATATACACACTTTTATTTGCAGGTGCAACATGCAAGCAAACAGATTGCTGCTGATAAGCAGTACAAGGGTATCATCGATTGTGTAGTGCGTATTCCAAAGGAACAAGGAATGCTGTCTTTCTGGCGAGGAAACTTGGCTAATGTCATCAGATACTTCCCAACTCAAGCTCTCAACTTTGCCTTCAAGGATAAGTATAAGCAGGTGTTCTTGGGAGGTGTAGACAAGCACACTCAGTTCTGGAGATATTTTGCTGGTAACCTGGCATCTGGTGGTGCAGCTGGAGCCACTTCCCTCTGCTTTGTCTACCCCTTGGATTTTGCAAGAACCCGTTTGGCTGCTGATGTTGGAAAAGCTGGTGCAGACAGAGAATTCTCTGGTCTCGGGGACTGTCTAGTCAAAATTACCAAGTCTGATGGTGTGCGAGGCTTGTACCAAGGGTTCAATGTCTCTGTCCAAGGCATCATCATCTATAGAGCTGCCTACTTCGGGATCTATGATACAGCAAAAGGTAATACTTCAGAGGAGATCCAGTAAACCTGTTTTCACAACTGTATTGCCTGTTCTGGGATGTTCCACACTGTAATAACTACATTAAGGTAGAAGGGGATATCGGTGCCAGCATCAGTGACGCTGCAGTGTTGAAGGCAAAACTTGGGCATGTGTTGATGGCAGCAGCCTACTTTCAAGTATTGGTTTTGTAAGGAGTTGCTCCTGATGCCAGCAAAGTATGTTGATAATGATACACAGAAAAAGTTCTTTTTTGTTCAATGCATTCCTGTAGTTACATTGGACCAGTTCAAGAGTGTTCAGCAGAATGGAATTGAGCAATGCTTTTGTAAAGCACTTGGTTAAGCTGGACATTTGGGCATGTAGGCCATTGATACTAGTTTGGGGTAACGTGATCCACAGGGACAGTGACTTAATTTAGTGACGTTTCTTTTTAAAAAGAGTAATGAATAATTGAGACTTTCTCATGCCAGTCTGAAAAGAATCTTTGTTCTTAAATGTTAAGCTGTTTTGATAACTGAAGAAAATCCTGAATTTCTTTAGATGTTTTTTATGTTGCCTCAATGTGTTTAAAGTTTATGAAGTTGCAATTTTCAAGTATGGCTCTACAATGTTTTGTAACTAGGGCATCTAGTTTCCTACTAGTTCATCTAGGAAAGTAGCTGTCATGCAGTGAGTAAACTGGAGGAGGACGTCCAAGATAAAAAGCTAATTACTTCTTTTTTGTTGCAGGCATGCTCCCAGATCCCAGAAATACTCACATTGTTATCAGTTGGATGATTGCCCAGACGGTGACTGCTGTGGCCGGTGTGGTGTCCTATCCTTTTGATACAGTGCGGCGTAGAATGATGATGCAGTCAGGACGCAAAGGAGGTAGGCTGTAAATCTGTGTAGCTCTTCAAGCAGTGTTAACAGGATGGAGTTCTTTTTTACTAATAGCCTTGACACTGACATGAAATGAGGAAGTGTGCAGTAAGGTTCAACTTGTGTTTGTCCTGAATTATGCTGAGGACTTCTCTTTATTGAAAATTAAATAGGCAAATGGACTGCCTGTTTGTGTTGACAAATTAAATTACAGTAATTAGGGGTTGGAATAGTTGCCAAAACGAAAGCTTAACATTTTTACTTTGCAACAGCTTTTATTAACTAGGCAAGCAGATAGGAAGCTTTGCTGTTGGCTGTGCTAAGAATCATATTACAGTCTTAAAGTGTGGTTTGGGACATCACAAAGTAGTTAAGTGAAACAGGACAGTTGTTAAAAACATCTGAGATAAAATTATAGGAGTTAAGAATCACTCTTTGCTCTTTTCCTGCAGCTGATATCATGTACTCTGGAACGATTGACTGCTGGCGGAAGATTGCAAGGGATGAGGGAGGAAAGGCGTTCTTCAAGGGTGCATGGTCCAATGTTCTCAGAGGCATGGGGGGTGCTTTTGTGCTTGTGCTGTACGATGAATTCAAGAAAGTCATTTAAACAATTCCTAACTAGAATTGGAAATCAAATTGAGCAGATCATGTAGAATAACTACCATTATGGACCATTGACCTTCAAGAAATTCCTGTGAGTCTTATTTATCGGAGCCAGATGATACTTGTAGATGGGGCTAGAAACTGACATAGAGGACTGATCCATTTCTCTGTAACATGCATGAAGACACTGAATCTGGCAATTCAGTGTGCTGATTTTTCTTTTCAGCAATGAAAAATGAGTGGTGTTGGTTCTGGGTCCAAAGTGGCTACGTCCAGTTTAGGCAGAGAAAAATTGTTTGCCTGCGGATCAGTCCCCAGTTTCAAGTCCTATCTTCTAGGACCATAAAATTGTATTTGAAAGCATTTGCTAACAAATCATGTTCTTTTCCACTTGTACTGAAGCACTATGTACCATTTTGCACAGCTGAACATCTAGCAGTTTTGTTCTTAAATTGGGGCATTTTGCTGTAAAACAATAAACATACTTACTCTGTCTGTGTTGAAATTATTACATAAAACCTTTGGGAAAGCCTCTTTTGTTTGAAAACTTGTTTCAGATAATGGTTCCTCTGATACATTTAAACTACACTCTGTAATAGAATTAAGCTTTTAAAAAAAAAACCTGAATGTGAGAATTTTATGGGGAAGCATGGGTTGTACTGATAGAGACCAGTCCCATTCTTTGTGCCTGATGGTCTACAATGGGCTGCTGCAAGTGGCTTTTTGCATGATTCTTAGAAATTGATTTGCAACTTCTCATGATTTAAAATGGGGGGGGCGGGTTCCGTTGTGCTAGCAAAACCCAAAGACCCAAGAACTGTCAAAAAGTAATGCTCCAGCCCTTGGTAAAAGAGCTTAAAGTAATTTTTTGTTGTTAAATCAGTATTGCAAAGCAACATGGCATTCATGCAAAAATCCAGGAACCCAGTAAATGCCTTCAACTTCTGAGCGACCTATGTATTGTATTGCTGCTGTTTGGAAATGTTGATTGTGCCATTCAAGATACTGTTTGGCCTCATCTGTAGCAGTGGTCAGTCAGTACCTCTGTGGAAGGTTGAATTTAATCTGAAATGAGGCTCGTTCTAGGAGATTACATTGATGGGGTGTGTGGGAGGGAATGTGTATGTTTCTGTATTGCTGTAAAATAGTAGATCAAGGTAGGTCAGCCTTCAGTATTAACTGATTGGTGTCTTGGGATGGTCAGAAGAACAAAACCAAACTGGGTAATTTCTCATACCGCTATTCGAGGTAGTGTAATACCTATGTGCCGTTCTCCACATGTATATAATCTTTTATACTTTGTAATCTGCAAAAACACAATAGGAGGACTAGTAAAGGAAAACAAGGTGTTAATCTTTGTGTTTTAAGAACTCTCCCTATATCTGGAAAAAGCGTGTCATTGTATGAATCACTGAAGGCTGACTGAGCTGTCTTGAGTTCTTTCTGTGCCTTCTGAGGTTGGTATTCAAGATGAAGTATTTAAATTAACTACTTGGCTTTGGCTGGTTATTACCTTCCTCTCAAAAGGACTTACCTTTTTCCTTTCACTGTTGCACAAGTGCTGCTCTCAACGTGTGTATGAATGTAAGGACGTTACACAGTTCCTCTGTACACAGGCCAGTGCCAAAATTTATGTACCTATTTCATCCCTGTTGGGTAATCGCAGCTCCCTGTGGTGCAGGCAGGTCATTTGATGTTGACCTTGCCAATCAGCTTGCTGTTTCACTTGTAATTATATTGATGGGGGGGAGAGGGGAAGACATTTTGTCCATATAAACACATTGCTTAGGTTTATTTTCTGTATCAGTGGCTTGAAATGGTAGAGATAATGGTGGGATGCCTCACTGTGAGTGTATGCTGGCCCAAACTTTGTGAGAGGAACCAAACATGGCAGTTACTTGAGCAGCCCCTGAAAGGAATAGGACTTTAACCCCTTTTCTTCTCCAGAACTAGGTTTTAACCGCAAGAAATAAAAAAAAAAGTGCAAGTGTAGGTGGTTTTAATGTGAACTGCAATTTCCCTATGCTGTGCATTCAGCATGTACTAATTTGTGCTGGTTTGGTTTTTTTAATATATGGCTTCTCTCAGTCATGCAGCAGCAATTTCCAATGTGCCATGAAGTTTAGGAACATAAGAGGCAAACAATAAATGAGACTTTTAAAAAAAGCATTTGTTTTCTGCCTTATTGAGACACTGTGCAATGCATTCATTTTGAAAAATATTACTGGAAAGCAGCCAGAATTTGTAAAAGTTCTGGCGTCTAAAACCTATATTATTTTTAAAAGGTGTTGGAAACTGAATTTGCACCCTTTGAAGGGATTCTAAAATGCAGCTATTAAACCTTTATTACAGATTTTTTTTCAGTCCTCACAACTGTTAAGCCTAGATGTTTTTGAAGGCTTTAAATACTGTCTGTGATTTAAGTACATGCTAATCCTGCAGAAGATTGGAGTGTTACAGAGGTCTGTATTTGCAGTGGCAGTACTGAGCTCATGAAATGGCTGACTGGCAGACCAGTATTAATAGTTATATTTGACAGGTGTAATTTTATTTCCCATTTTTACCTTTGGTATTGCTGGTTGGAAGATTAAAGGGCGCAATTTTAAACACATTTTGAATAATTTCTGCTAAAAAAAACCCTGAGCATATGAAAACTATACAATCATAAAATTACTGTGGCATTCTTAAGCAGGCCTGTCATCTTCCAGGAAACCTTTATAGTCAGAGGAAAGAAGCTTCATAGCAATGAAGACAGGAAATGAGTTTGTTCTGGATAAGAGGCCTTGGCTCACATTGTGAAGAACATCCTAGCAAAGTTTAAGCATGTCTTCAAAGTAGACACTTGCAGAAAAGTGTGGCTGCTGGCCATTTTGGTTTCAAACAAAGGGTGAAGAATAAATTTCACAGATTTTTCTCCCCTTGTTTCTCCTGCTCCATTTAAGTGGATTTTTATGGGACAAACAGTGTTATAGGCAATTATATTCTTTTATAGGCTGGTTTGAAGTACTTGTCAGCAGGATCCGTGCTTTTATTTTGTATTGGGGGAATCAGTGTATTTTCTTCTTGGAAAGTTGGGTCATCTCTTCAACTGTAGTTACTTCCTCAGTATGACTTTTTGATGATAGATTTACATATTCTGTCTAAAGAGAAAGAAAAGTCTGTAACATGCAGTAAGCTAGAGAGTCACTCTGTCGATAATCAGACAACACTAGATACACCAGTACCAAAGGTGCCTCTTCCTGCTCTTTCATTACTTAAAGAGATGCTTGCAAAGCAGGAGAAAGTGGTTTTAAGGACAGTTAGGACAGTTTTACTTTTAATATGTACAATCAGTACTAGCTGTTTGTCAGCAGAAGGACAAAGAATAGAATTTTATCTAAATGCTGGACAACCTTAACTGAGACAATAGAAGGAATTTATTCAGTGGGTATTGCCCAAATTTTTGATATGTAAGCATTAGCTAGACTTCTAGAGAAAATACTTTGGTTGCTATTACACATTTTAACATCGGTTAACCTGGAGAGTGGATATTCTAGGAGAGTGGATGTTGCTAGATAAGATCATAGTACTGATACAGCACTCAGAGCTGAAAGTATTGAAGGGAGATAAGTATGATTAAAAAAAAAAAAAAGGAGGGATAGTACTGGGGGGAAAAGTTAAAAAAAGGAAAGACAAGCTGCTGGTATGTGACAACATCAAACCAGGATGTCTTTGTGGGAAATTTTTTTCTAGGAAATCAGGGATTGGTTAAGCACTGCAGGGCTTCATGATCATGGTGTTTTGTGCTGCTTGGCTGCTCTGAGGAAAATGCACAAAGAGAGTGTCTTTCAAATCCTTGGAATGAATTTGATCTGGGAAAAGAGGAAAACTTAAGTGTTAGACTTCTGAGCGAGGGTGAAAAAAGTATCTGGGGAGAGTGAGTGAAATGTCATCAGACTTTGGTAGTAAGATGAGTAAAATAAAATGGATTAGACGAATGCAAGGTGGCTGATGCACTGAGTGATTTGGTTGGTAGGATCTTACAATAAATAAGAAAATTGGTAGTTTTTTAACATGAGCATTTTAAGAATACAAATGCAAACTCAGTGCAGAAAAGTTAGGATTTTGTAAATAGAGATATTTCAGTGATATAGGGAAAAGTATAGTGAAACTTAAAAAAAAAAAGAAAATGTGAAAAGGTCATTGAGTAAGTCGGGGCAGAACAAAGAAATGCAAGCTTTAAAGAGGTGTGATTAGCAAGTTATAGGTTTCAAAATAACTCATAAATCCATTAGCACTAAATGTCAGGGAGAGAGTGTTCTGGTGTTCAGTAGAGGAGAGATCTTGAAAATACCGGTTTTGTACTTTATTTTCTGCTTTGAAGAATTGCAGCGTTCAATCAGTGTTAAAAAGATACCTGAGTTTGGAGGGAAGAAGTATAATAAAATTAGACTTTAAGACTAGATCAAAATGGGCAAAGAGGAGTCTAGAAGCTGTTTAAACATGTCATAATCATGAATTACCTTCACAGTGCCTGTTGACAGGTATGAGGCAACCTGAGGGCTTCACTTGAACTCTGGCAACTGCTGCTGTTAAATTGTTGCCTGCATGGGAGAGCCTGTGCCAGCATTTAGAAACCACATTGACAAAGGCCTTTGGGCTGTAATGGAGTGATTTGATTAAGTCTGGTAGTATATGCACAGAAATTTGGAAGCCCCTCAAGTTTAGGAAAAGCAAGCAGTCTGGAGAGTCTGCAATTTTTGAAAGACTGCTTGCTACTGTACTAGCTCTTGTTATTTAATATGATGGACTGTGGATGGCTTATGCTCTAGAAGCCTGTTATGAAGTGAGATACCAGGTATTTATGACTTAAGGTGTATGAGGAAACCTATCCATGTCACATTCCTACCTGCTTTCTGTGAAAGTCAAAGGTGGTAGCACCAAAAGATAAATTAAATAGGACAATGTGCTGGTATATAGTTACAAAACTAGAGAGTTTTAGTAGTCAGAGCTTTGAGGATTCTTTGTAAACAGTCGAAGGAAGATTTCTGTGCCACTTTTGAAAGCCTCATTGGAAAGCATGGTGTTGCCACTGAATTGTAGGCAGTACATGACTAGCCTGATTTATTGACTTTGCTTTAGCCAGCTGAGACAAAGCATTCCCTCACAATGCAATCACCATACAACCACTGCCCAAATGGACAATTTGAGAAGCATCGATGGTTTGAAGCCTGGTTGTCATGACGTGTAGAAAGACAGGAAGAGTTACTTGCTGTTAACAGTGCGTAAGATACTGTAAAGAGGAAAGGAATAAGGATAAAAAGTAATGGATTTTAAGTGCAGTAAAACAGGCTATTAAAAAGCTTTTTAAAAGTGAGGATAGTTAAAAATATAGAATAGGGTACATAGGGATGCTACAGTATATTGGTCAAATACAGTTTTTACAAAGCACTGAAATCACTAATCCTGTGCTGGTGCGAGAGGAAGACTACTTAAGCTGTTGAGCCTTCCCAGCCCTGTTGATTTTCATTATTCAGTGTGACAGGATTTTTACATGGGGTTGATCAGGGTTATAAAATACATATTCACATTGTATTATGTATTGTGTGATTGATGTTTGAAAATGCTAATGGAAAGTGTTTTCTTGGGTTATTTTCAAAGTATGAACAGCAACCTTGTAGAGCTTGTATGCACAGAAATTACCATTCTCCATAAAAGTGAAAACTCTGGTCTTAAAAGATGGCTGCAAATACCAACAGGATAATCATTTGTCTCAGCACTGCCATAGAGCATTTCAGGTTTCAAAGCGGCGTACCTTGCATGACAGGCACTGGTCTTCATTGGACCAAATGTAACACTTATCTTTATATGTCAGTTCTAGTCTTTGGCCTATTATGGATTAGAGTTAACAAATTTGACTGAATTGAAAAGAAGCCATACCTGGATATCTTCATTGGTTAATACGTTAAATTTGTCTCTCGGTTGTGGTATAGGAGGAAGTATGTTCTTGAAACTGCAATACCTTTGGATAGAAAATGGCATTGTGGAGAAATTTAAAATACTGGTAATATAACTTACACAAACATTGTGTGTTGTAATTTAAGGACATTCTTTCATTTTAAGATTGAATAGCTATTACTCTACAAATTAAGTGAAAATAAAAATATTTTGAGTGGGTTAACTGGTGGGTAACTATTACTATACTTATCACTTGGGTAACTAAAATTTATTTTGTGATGATAGTCAAAATAAATACTTTATTAATCAATGACTTTGAATAAATCACATGACATAACTGTCTTTAACCACTGAGTGAGAAGTTTTATCAAAATAACAATACGTTAATTTGTCCGGATTCCCTCTTGTCTGGTACTGTATGCAGCCAGTGGCTTCAAAGCAACCTGGATGTCAAATGCTTAAAAATAAGAACACAATAGCTTTTGTAGGATCTGGTAGAATCCAGGATCCACTTAGTAACTTCAATATCCTTTCCCCATTTTTCACTTGTAGTGATTTTGTGTGCCAAAGGACCATCCACAACAATACTGGCGATAATACATTTTGACACTGATAATCAGATTATTTAAGTTTGCAGGTAGGAAAGTAGGAGATTGAAGGAACGTGTTTCGTAGAGATAATACTCTATCAATAGTATCTACAGAAAAAAAGGTTGATTTACCTTTTGAAAAGACAATACAGGAGCACTGTCACTGATATTGTTCCAAGTGCTATTAGAAATAAAATCACAAAAATAAAGTAATCTTTCCCTTGACCTGAAACATCCAAGAGAGAGAAATATCTCAGCATACCAAAAATCTCCCTAGGAGACTGTCAGTAATGAATGCAAGTTTCACAATTTATTCTTAATTATTCAAAGGACTTCAATTTGATTTTCTTACAGAAATTTGGCAAAAATTCAGGTTGACTTGATGCATTTTAAACCATTTCAAATATTTAAAATTTAGAGAAATTGAAAAATAATCCAGAAAAGAAGAAAAATAAACAGAGTTACAGTACAAATAACTGAGCAAAATTAGTGGAAAGGGTAAAAAGAGAGAAGCAGAAGGAAGGGGATGATATTCATGGTAAAAACTTAAAAGAACTCGGAGGCATCCTCATCACTTCAGGCCAAAAGGCAAGAGTGGGTCTATTTTCATCTGTTCCTGTAGCCCTGGCATCTGAGTAACTGCTGCCTTCACAATCCCAGCTAACCAAAGGTTCTGCTGCCAGAGTACTCTTCCTCATTAATAATTTCCACCCAGTTCCTTCCATGTAAGGGTAAGAGTTAAGATTTTATTCACTCCTTTGTCTGTGAGGGAGAAAGGGAAGCAAACATGGTAATACTGAAAAAAAATAGTATTTCATAATCTTACCAAACTCAATGGGTTCACTCCATTCCCCCCACTTTGAGCTTACGAGACATTTTGTTCCACGTGCTCTGATTTTCAGAATGTATCGGTTTTTCTCATTATAATTTTGGAATTTGTATCTATCATTCCCTACCTAGAAGCAACGTAATCAGATTAACAAAAATTAAAATTAATTTAAAAAAATTAATTTCAGTATGATTAAAATCATATTAACAAAATATTAACAAAATTTGGGGTTGATTTCATTATACAGTTTCTAGAAAAAAAAAAAATTTGTATGATTTTTTAGGTATGTACTAGTTAAATGTTTATCCTGCCATCAAAACTTTCTCTTTTTTGAAGGTTAAAACTAGATTTTTGAAGTTTATTGGGTCTTTAATTTATTTTATTATGCTTTAAGGACACTTTTTTTTCCTGTTCCTGTTTATGGATCCTAAAAAAATCAGAAAGACACAAAGCAGAAACTGCAGAAGTACCCTGTAAAATCCCCTTGCAGCCTTCATGGGGATAAAACATGCAAATGTTCCCTGCGTGGTGTCTGTTTTTGCTAAAGAGACCTAATATTTTTAAGACAGTACAACAACAGATATGTATTATCTGGCCTCATGATACTTTATACAAAGTCTAGAATCTGTCAAGCCTTTCCAAGGGTCAGAGGACCACTCATTTTTTCAGGGAAAGACTGACAGTATGTATTAACTTCCACAGGTTTTGAAGATCGTTGTACTCCCTTTGTCTAGCTGTCCTTAGATACAGATGCAAACCCTATAGTTCTAGAAGTAAGTATATTTTCTGTAATAGTATTTATACGCTTAAGTGAGCAAAACCACAAATTTGTGCATGGCAAGAATACTTACAACCATTTTCTCTTCTTTGGGGTCATCCTGCAAAACAAAGACAAATCTTCATTTTTATTATTTTCTTATCAAATAATAAAACATTTCTTTCTGGTTCTCTTTTTCTTGCCTTTAAAGAACGTAAGTAATTTTAAACTGAAAAACTGGATAGTCTTCTCCAGTAATGTCCCAGAATAACAGCATTTTATTCAGAATGTTGGCTTCCTACATTTCCTTTTAGAAAAGGAAGGAAACATGAATTAGTTATCATTAGATGTGAGAAGCTGTATTTGCCACTAAGGGCGTATTTAGACTGTACATTCTCATCCAGTAGAAGTATATCCAAATTATGCGAGCAATCACACCATCCTACACACACAGCAGGTCTGGAAGCTGTGATTTCACAGGAGGTTTATAACATGGGGCAGAAAAATGATGTGAATAGCAAATTTACCCTCCTTCCAGTCAATGTTATCCGTGCTCAAGGGCTTTCCCCCAACTACTGTGAAGAGGTACTTACACATCCTATACAATCAAACTTTAATTAACTGGAATCAAACTTTTACCTGCATCAAAGAACCTGAAAATTTGGGGAAAAAAAAGATAGGTTCAAAAATGAGTGAACAGTTTCAACAGCAGTGATTTTTAGCAATGATCTCAGAAAACATTGAAAGGCTGAGGTCCTGGAAACAACTGTCACATGAAATATCAGGAGGATAGCTAACACTGTGGAAAAGTCAGAAAGGTGTAACTGGAAGGAATGTCTCGTTACAGAATACACACCCACTGTGTGTCTTGAATTATAATGCAGACTAGTATTTCCCCATCATTCATTGTCAGCTGAGCTCTTTCAGCTTAGGACATGATGGAAGTCAATCAGCCTGTGCTGTGAGTGGGCAGTGTAAATGAGTTACTTAAGCTTTAATTTAGTGCCATTTACCTCTGTCAGCCCCTCCTGAAAGGTGTGAGTTTTATCTGCCATTTCCATGTAGATACCTCTGATACCTTCAGTAACTCTAGCACCTCAAGGGGAATGAGCCCTTCCACAGCACAGAGCCCTAGAAGTGCATTGTCTCTCAGGGGATGTTTGTGCTCCTTTGCAGACACCTACATTAAGGTGTCTCAATCTGCAAGATGAATTTCACACCCAAATGTAGAAATCTACACTGAACCTCATCCTTTCTGACTGTGGCACAGGAAAGAAGAGGTAACGTATTTCTTTCAAATAAATTTTTTGATAATATTCCTTTAATCATATGTTGTGGCCTATATCTTTACGTAAAAAATTCTACGTATTTCACACAAGATCTTCCTGTCAAATTATACCTACCAAGCTGGAAAGCTATGTGTACTGCAGTTGCTCCTTGAAATAGCTACAGCCTGCAAGCTGTAGGCCTTGTTTTGAATCAACGAATAAGATTTAATGGTGTATTGTTTTATTTCAATTGTATATTTATGTATTTTATTTCAGTTGTATAGTTATGTTTAACTCTTAGCTGATCTTTCCTGCAATGGTCTTGTTCCTGAGAATTGCCACTGCTGTAAGCTTATGAGCTGCAGCTGGGAAGTGGGATAGGTGGGAGCACTAATTTGCCCCAACACAGGTGTCATCCACTTGTGGAAATCACATACTGGTAAAACAGGTATCCCAGCGATGAGGAGGAAGAGTGCTATATCTTGCCTCCTTGTCAAACTCCTGGACTCAAAAAAAATTCCTGGCCTTTGTCCTTAGAGATGTTAAAATCAGGTCCTTTAGACACTGAGATTTGTGGAGAAGGATTTGACACCTCAGCCTCTCTGCTCTGTCATATGTGATGGAAACCAGACATACCCTAGCCTGGAGAAAAGCAGACTCAGGGGAGACCTTCTCTTTCTCTACAACTACTTGTTGCAGAGTGGGGATAGGTCTCTTATCCCTGGTGACAAACATTAGGAGGAGAAGAAACGGCCTCAAGTTGCACCAGGGGAAGTTTAGTTTGGATATGAGGAAATAATTCTTCACTGAAAGGGTGGTCAGGCATTGGAGCAGGCTGCCCAGGGAAGCAGATGAGTCACCATCCCTGGAAGTGTTCAAAAGGCATATGGATATGGCACTTAGTGATGTAATGTAGTGGTGATTATGGTGGTGCTATGTTAGCAACTGATGATCTTGAAGGTCTTTTCCAACCTTAATAATTATTCTATGAACCAGGGTGAGCATGAGGAGCTCAGAACCTGGGCACAGGCTGGAGGCTGCCACCAAGCCAGTGCCCTTGTTGCAGGTCACACAGTCGTTCCTCCTGTGACATGTACTTATGCAGGACAGCATCACAGGTATTCTCAAGTCTTTCTCAAGCATTCTCAAGACAGAGATTCCTCATAACATTTCCCTGCTCTCCTCTGCTTTTCTACTTCACATCTCTGAGAAGTCTGAAAAAAGATCATGAGAGATGGGATGTGAGACTAGCAGAGCTGGAGCAGGAGGACACCACAGGTCATGAGAGAGAAGTTAATTAATAAAGGAATCAGAAGTTTGCACATTATAGCTACATGCATGTACGTACAGTGGCACAGACAAACAAAGAAATTTTTACCTTATTTTGTATGTTAATTTCATACTGAAAACACTTTACTTTTTTCACGTGACTTGTAAGGGGTGGATGCCATGTAATTGTGCAACCCGCTGGATCTCCAGTACAATGGACAGTGACATTTAATGGAGCAGCGAGTATTTCTAGGGGGAAAAAAAAGGAATAACTAATGTAGGCATGGTCAGTAATCCACTACATCTCATGCCTTCGTAGCAAAATGCATGTCAAGGTGAGGCAACTGATGTACAGCTGTGTGCCACTGATTCTAACAAAAGTTATTTGATAAACAGCAGCAAAATACCATACCAAAACTTGGGAATATATCACTGCAGTTGCTGGACATCAGAAGTAACTGAAGTTCATGTGAAAAATAATATGAAGGATTTTGTGTAATTCAGCAGTGCAATAACAGTGTCACTTTTCTTCTACATCTGTTTTCCAATTTCATATTGACAGTGCAAGTCTCCATAGAAAGAAGGATGGAAGTTTTTGTACCTGTAGTATTTTTCATGTAGAAGAGCAAGGCATTGGAATTTGAGTGCCTATAGACTGTGACCTAAGTGTCTAACCACTACAGTCAGTGGAGACCTCTCCAGTAGTGCCTTGATGGCTGCAAAGCTCTTTGGCACACCATGGAGCAGATGTGCTTCTCTAGATAGCTCTGAGCTTCACAGCCCCATCAGCTACAGTCAGGAGTCACTTGTGTTGCGTTTCAGACCACACAGGACACTCAGAAGGACCCTGGTATCTCATGGGTCCCGGGCCACATCTGCAAGCCTTGTGGATGCCTCAAGTATCTGAGTGTGTCTCAAATGGCACTAGAGGGGTGTTTTTAGGCAACTAAATCCCACCCCAAATCTTTATTGGAGCTTAAACACCTAGTTTGCACATATTGATCTAACACAGCCTTAATTTGCAAGTTGAACCCTCACTCTGGTTTTGGGACATGTAGCTCTTGTGGGTCTCAGGGAGGTGTGGGATTAAGGGATGGCAAAATAAACCCATCAGAAAGGTAGCCTTGAAAGTCTAACCATTGTGTTTCATTAATTGGAATCCATGGATATGTTCACATCACTTCTCTGAGCAGTTGTTTCAGGCTACCTCTACCTTTGCTTGTTTTAGTTAATTTTTGGAACTATATTCTGTCAGCTGTAGGGAGCAAAGTCTGTCCTGCAGTGCAGGATCCTGCAATGGCCTACATACTTTGTTTTAATCTTATTTCCAGAGAAAAATTCACCACTTCCTTATTTTATAAAACAGTAATAAAATAAAAATGTTCAATTATTTACCAATTTTATACAGGTCAATGTACTCATCATAGAACTGGATCAGGGAGTCTTTGCTAGATCCATTCACCATGAAGTAAGCTTTTCCAATTATCTTCACATTTTGGAATCTACATCCCATGTTTCTGCCGTTTTCATCTTTAATGTAAAGCTCACATTCCACCTCCCCATCATCTCTGTATAAAGCAAGGTATTTTCATTAAACATGGGTAGTGTGATGTGTTGAATGAGAATTCAGACTTCCCTGACTCAAGCAGACCTACTTACCTTGAGTTCTGCCAGTAGAGAAAATACTGTGTATCTGCTGGAGCACCCCTTCCTGCCTGCCAAGTGCAGTTCATGAGGCAAATGTTATAAATCACACAAGAGAAATTTTCAATGGCTGACTCATTCATGCCTGCAAACAGAGGAATATCTGTGATGAGGAAAAAATCCTATGACTCCTCCAATCTGGAGGATCATGGCACATGCTTAGGTGTGTTAGATGCCTTCAAGTCCATCTAGTTATTACTTGGGTCAGGAGTGAAAACTAAGAGAATTATCACTCCATTTTAACTGCCTCTTAACTGTGAAACTTGTCAATAAGCAAAGCATTCACACACAGAAAGGAAGGCACATTGCCTTTTACCATCGTGTTGCTACAGAGAGAAGTATTTCTCCTTTTGCAATTAATGCTCAGGAATCCGCTCCTAAAAGTCTTCACAGAGAGGACTAAAAAAGCTGAGACTTTTAAAAGCAAATTTGGACTTCTTCCTGCTCTCCAATCAAGCAACTTCCTTGTTAGATCTTTCCACCCTCACATGTGTGACAATGACTTGTTCTGTTCCTTTTCTGGAGTACGTTGAAGTGGGAATGTTTCTTTGGAAGTTCGCTTGTGGCCAGGCTGTGTGAGCATGCTCAGCCTCCTTCTCTCTTCTCCTTCAACCAGTTTTCTGCTTCTTTCTGTGGTATGCCCCAAATTCAGTGAAAGGGTGGAGGCTTCCTCTGCTACTGACTCCAACCTCCTCCAGTGCCCATTGTCTAGGGCACCCTTGTGGAAGCACGGGGGAATCCTCTGAGGAGCCCGAATGCTTTGGAAGGTAGGGCCAGTGGGGGAGGAACACCAAAAGCAACAAATTTTGTGTGTCCTGCCTTGTATTTTGAGGGTCGCCATTGGTGTTTCCTCTGCCAAGTCTACAGGAAGAGATGAGCACGGAGTGTTTTCTCTGTTTAGACATGAGCAAGCTGCTAATCTCATCACCTCTGTCATGTCTGAGATACCCTGGGTACACACAGCTTCAGGAACGCTGTTGACAAGGGAATTTTAGTGGAGAACTTTGAGCTGAGGAGGAGGGGCAAAATGGGTTACAACAAATTCACCAACAGCCCAATAAGAAAGCATTTAATAAACAAATAAGCACTAATATCTTAATTTGTAACAGCCAGAACAATTATTTGAATCTACCCTTAAACCCCTGTAAGTCATTGGCCTTTTGGAACCTTAGTATAAAAGAGAATAACACAATTATGGATACACTTGTGGTAATGCATATCTTGAGGAATGGTTGAGACATTCATTACAGAGCAAATAATTTTAACAGATCTGCAAAAAAAAAAAAAATTAATAGAAAATGTAGCAGTTACCTACTGTGTAAGGAACTGTTTTCTAAGACAATTAAAAGATTTAAAAGATTGGAAATGGAGAAAACCTTAGCCAGACATTACCTCCAGGAAAAAAGGTGCATTTTTTTGAGATGTTTGTGTTTGGCACTTCAATGATAAAGAATACCCCTTTGTGCAGAGGCATGTACAGTTCTTCTGGAAACCTCCATAGTGGACTATTCACCTGAAAAAGAATATGTTGATGTTTTATTTTTCTGCTTTTCCTCTTTTGGTGTTAGATGATGCTGGCTGTGGAAGTGCAACTCAGGAACTCAACTCCATGTATATGATATATGTTTTAGGCTCAATAGCTAACTCCCTCCTTTAGCACTCCAGGGTGGTGTAGAAAGGAACTGAGGGATTGATAACATAACAACACAAAAAGCTTTGCAGCTCAGGAGTTGATACTACAGTTGTGTGCGACTATTACAGAAGGCTAATAATGCTCCAGTGGCATAACAGAAGATGATTAATGAATAAGGGAGCCACAAAGGAATTTAATCATAGGATTAAGCAAAATAGAAATCCTCATCTGACCTGCCCAGCAGTCAGAAAGGTGTCTATGGCATTATACTTATAATCTTCAATAAAGATGTGATGGACTTCATAATAGGCATTTCTAGTTAACACATCTGCTTTGCTGGGCTAAATAAGCCACTTCTCTCTTTTTCTGTCAAGCTTCCTATTTTTCTCCTTGGATATTATGGGTTTATAACATAACCTGTGGTACAAGCATGATCCAGTTCACTGGGAAACAAGTGAAGAACTTGAGATAATGAAAAGCCATGGCCGTGTTTGCAGAATTAATTTATCTGAAGGGTCTCTCGCTCTGTCTCTCTAAATTTGCTAGAAGTCTCACTTAGTCTTACAACCCCTTTGTTTCAGCAGCTAGATCTCTACTCATGATTCAACGTAGGCACAGCACAGTCCAGGCTATCACTTCCTTTCCAGTTTGATGCCAGAACTTCAGCTCTGTCGTATGCATGGGATGCTCCTCTCACAGTAAATGCATCCTGGCATTGCTGATGGCTTTCCACAGCCCCTGACATATCAAGCTGTGGACTGTAAAAAACCCACACCTCAGATGTTATCTGCAACTATTTCAAAGTAAGTGAAATTGATAAGAGGTAAAGAAAAAGGTGCAGTTATTTATCCCAATGAATAGCAAGTTTACCTCTGTCTCCATGCTTTCCATGTCCCAGTTCATGATGGTACATTTATACATAGAAAAATTCTTGCTGCTCTCCCAGGACAGTTCCATTTTTCTCCAGTCCACATTCACATTTTTAATAGGTGATTTTTGTGCTTCTGCTGAAAGCGATACAGCACAAGTTCTGTAAGGATATGCTATTCCTTTTTGAATGCAGAGGATAGTATCTGTCAGGCTCAAGATGATAATTGCCAGTTTAATTGCAAATATCTCTGATAAATAAAGAATTAAACCTTATTTCTTGGGTTATATTTGCAAAAACATACTTACACTCCATACACTGGATGTCAGCGTGCAAAGGATGAAAAAGCATCACACACCACCAAATCATGCAAATGAGTCCAAAACTATCAAACATATTTTCTTCTCTAGAAAGAAATAATGAAACCTTCAGAAAAAAAAAAAGAGAAGAGAGAGAAGAGAAGAGAAGAGAAGAGAAGAGAAGAGAAGAGAAGAGAAG